AACAGGTGTCCTGGTAACTGACGGCCACTCCACATGTCTCCTTAGTCCAAGGCTACTAGCGCCCAGCGTCAGGGAGGCTAGGAAACATGGTTTGTATTCTGGGCAGCTCTGTGCCCAGCTAGAAATCAGGGGTGTCTTTATTGAGGAAGAAGGAGAAGAGTGGATGTTGAGGGGCAACTGACAGGCTCTGCCATACAGCGCATTAAAACCATCTGCTAAAAACAAGTGTCATTTATATCCAGGTAAGAAATCTATACTTACATAGTCAAAGTACTGGGAGAGGTAGTGTGGAAATCATATTTTAATTGCTCTAAGAAAGTAAAGATTAGCTACGAGTACTTAAAACGTAATCTTTGAGAAACTGAATTTTTTTTTTTTTAAATATATTTCATTGATTCTTTACAGAGAGGAAGGGAGAGAGACAGAGAGTCAGAAACATCGATGAGAGAGAACCATCGACCAGCCGCCTCCTGCACATCTCCCACTGGGGATATGCCCGCAACCCAGGCACACGCCCTTGACCGGAATCGAACCCGGGACCTCCCAGTCCGCAGGCCGACGCTCTATCCACTGAGCCAAACCGGTCTCGGCGAAACTGAATTTTTGATGACTGAATTTTCTAAAAGTGGGGCACACCGAGGCGGGGAAGACACATAAATGCTTCGGCGTAGCTGTCTGTTGGAAAGTACCGTAGAGAATGTGTTTAGGGAAGAAAGATGTTTTGCCACTGAATGATTTCGCAGTGTGCCATGCTTTTTCAGATGTATTCTCAAAGGTTCACTTGGTTATATATATACATTCAAGTCTGGAGTAACCCTCTCTCAAAGATAACAGCATCTCTCCTTGAGACCAAGTCACCTGAGACCTCTTGCAGCTGCTGGCTTCCCCCAGGGCACGGACACCAGGAAGCCAAGGTTCCGAGGAGACTCTGGCTCCAATTTTTAGTCCTACTGAAATAAATGCAATTCTTTAGACCCTTGTGAGGTCCACAAGTTAGAATGTGACTGAATTTTCAGGCTTAAAGTTGAACAAACTCATTCAGCAGCCCGTACATCTTTTTGAACTCTAGATTGAAAGCCTGTTAAAATGTTCCTTAAGACTTGCCCTGGCTGGTTTGGCTCAGTGGATAGAGCATTGGCCTGTGGACTGAAGGGTCTCAGGTTTGATTCCAGTCAAGGGCACATGCCCTGGTTGCGGGCTCGATCCCCAGTTGGGGGCATGCAGGAGGCAGCCAATCAATGATTCTCTTCATTGATGTTTCTATCTTTCTCTCCCTCTCCCTTTTCCTCTCTGAAATCAATAGGAATATATTTTTTAAAATGTTCTTTAAAACCTATAAAAGGTAGACAAGAACAAGAGGTAGAGTTGGGAGCTGAGGCTGGTGGGGTGGGGCGGGGCAAATATCTCAGGGTTAGGAAAACGGAGTAGAGGCAGCCCCTGAAAATACTAAGAATGATCTTTCTCCATCCCATCCCTTTGCCCCACCCCGTCTTTTACCCCTAGGCCTGCTCTGCCTGAGAAGAAGGTGGCTGACCTCAGCACTCTGAACGAAGTGGGCTATCAGATTCGGATTTAGGCAAGCCATACCAGCCGGTCAGAGGGCTTCTGTGGTGCTTCTCTCTGCACTTTACCCAGCATCTTCAGGAGGAACTGCAACTATTTATGAAGAACCTGTGGATTTTATTTTTAAGGATTCACTTGGAAATAGAATCTGAGTGGGTGGTAACAACGTAAAAAAAATTCACAAAGGGGCAACCATGAAAAGGCTAGTCATAAACCCCACTGGGGTTGGACTGTCTCCCTCACTCCTGATGGAAAGGATAATACTGCCACTGTAGTTCTCTATTTTTCCATTTACCCGCATTCTTTTACTTGCTTTCACCATTATCCCTCACCAAGTAAATGTTTCTGAAACCCTGCCTCCCACTTTTGATATATAGTAAGGTAACTCGATCAGTATTAATGTTTTTTGCAGCAATAACAGAGGCAAAGATTGGTGGGTGTTTTTTTAAGCCGTCAATATTACCTCAGCATTTTGACATCAGATATGCAAGCTTAATGGTGTTTTGTGTTTTATATTCTATTTGTATGGGTTCCCCAATATTTCCCATGGGGACCGCCACAAAGTTTGGAATTCTTTCCTGGTGCATACATGTGATGAGATTTAAGGTATTATATGCAGGTGTTTTGCTAAAAAGCACTGAAATTCTTCTGGCAATACGGGAAACCATTTTTAGGATCTTGGAGTCACTTCTTTCTTAAAGCATTCACTGACAGCAGCTTTTGTTCTTTCAAAACAAAACAAAAACAGCACAGTGAGAGCTAGTCTATATTCTGTCACTAACATTTAAACTTTGCAGCCTCTACAAAAGTAGAAGGGATCACGCAGTAGTGGGAAAATTTAGCAGTATGGCAATTACCTCTAATAACAAAACTCAGAAAGGGAAAACAGCAGGTCTTCAGAAACAGATCATCTTTCTGCTCACATTTCATCTGGTCCTTAAATTCTGAGCTGGGCCTTGATTCTGAAGGACTCACTGTTGTGAGAGACGTGTTCTGATGTCTTATATTAAGACCAAATGGGGTGCAAAGGGATTATTTTCCAGTACCTCGCTTTTCAGTATGACCTCATGACATTTAGGAACTGGTACTGGAAAAATCCAATGAATTAGAGAAGCATGGGACCTTTTTGTAAATGGAAAAGTCTTCAGGTCCCATGTTACACCTGAAAGCGTGACTTGGTCCATGTGAAGCACAGTATGACTATCTGGCCTGCACGTGGTAGTTACAGTGACTTCCAGCTGCAGATCATACAGCATAACTCCAACAGCATCCCAAGTCTGTATGTTATCAATATCAGGGGTGCAGCTTCTATTTCATTTGTTTTATCTTAGTAACCACGCCAACTCATGAGACCGAAAGGCAGAGTTAAGTGAAGTCCGCTAGTCAGCAAAAGTGTTAGTTCAGTCTCAGGGCTTCCCTCTGGCTTTGACGAGGTGGTTTTAGGAAAGGTTAAAAAAAGATGAGAATCTGCTCATTCAGATTCTTTACCTCTGAGGGTGACATGGAGAGCAAAAGGACTTCATTCTCTAGCCATCTGCACATGAACTTGTTACCCTTAAAGTCAATGTTATGACTGGAAAGTATTGTTTTCTAGGAAAAGAAGGAAGTCTAATGTCTTTACATAAACAGGAGCAGGTAGGTATACATCTCAATTAAAATATAGCATTAAGTTAACAATTCTGAACTTAATTGCTTCAATATATTATCAGTCAGCAGAATTTAAAATGAGTTATCTTTGTATATCTTCCCAAGGCAAATCCATTTGCAGCCCATGGCCACGTGCATTTAGAGTACTCAGTAAATCATTTCATTCTCATGCCGAAAATGATACTATCAATCTGAAATTTTATTATATATAAGAAGACTACTTATAACATTGCAATCGTTCTAAGAGCTTGGAATAGGATTTTCTAAGCATTACCTAAGTACTGTCCCAACTAAAATACAAAAAGTTCATAGCTACACAGCCTCTTGTTTCCTACAAGAGAGAGGAAAGTAGGGATATAAACTGTTTCTAATATGCTGATGGATGAACCTTAAAACTGCCAATTGACTTGATGACTCAATTTCTTCCATACTAACTTCCTGATTTTAATCATTTCCCCAAAGCAATAGTCACAGAAACATGAAAATTCATGGAAGATGTTTTAGTTGTCACTCTATTTTTAATGACTATGGAATGTTAATTTCTAAAAGATGTGAGAAAGAAACCAAACTTGTAAAGTCTAGTGCTGTAATTTAAAGTCAAAACGAACAAAAAAATCGAAAAAATCATGATATAACTTACCTCCCCAAAATTGATTTTGAAACCGGCTACAATTAAAAAAGATAAAAAATGAAACGGAGATGATTTGAAATCTAGTTTTGAAAAAGTTATTTATGTAAGAGAATTTTTATGCTTAAGCCACTGTGGCAATAAATGCAAAGTTTAAATGAATGACAGGAATCTTGATTTTAGACTACATGTTGTGCTGTTTTGAGTACACTTTATTTCAAAAAGTGATATTTAGTATTTTCTATACACTCTGAAATCATGAACATTTCACTTTTTCTAAGTCAATTATTTCATAAGGATTTTATTAATAGATATTGGTAAATAGAACTTTGGAAATCTTAATTCGGTATTCTTACTATACCCAAGGCTTTTGTAACCTAGTTTTATGTACAACCTTGTACAGTTTTTTTGACATACAATTCAGAATCTTGTTTATTCTCTTGGACTTTGTTCTGGCCAATACATTTTTTTTAAATCTTTAAGGAAAACTGTGATTGTTTTAGTGGGTATTTTTCTAAGTAAATGACAACTTGTACAATGTATTTTAGAGAATGCCAGATAGTGCATGTTTCAAGTTCATGTTTTTCTCATCACTTATATGTTTATACAGCATGAGACTTTAATAAAACCATCCTGGAAACTTAAGGATTGTTTTTCTTCTAAAAATGTGACATGATGTAATTTGTTTCCTTGTCCACTTACTTGTCCTAGTCAACTAGTTTCTCATTCTCTCAGCTTTGACTTCTTCCAGTTTTCAAACTCTACATTAAACATCACTCTGTTTTGGCACATCTTCATTCACTTATATTTTAGCATCAGCCTAAGTAATAAAAGCTGAAAAGGGTAATGGAATAGTTTAGAAGAGGCAACAGGCCAGCTTACTCAGCTTAGTATACCTTACCAAGAAAACCTCAGACACAGATCTAGCCAGTTTGACTCAGTGGTTAGAGCACCGGCCCTCAGACTGAAGGGCTACGGGTTTGATTCTGGTCAGGGATTCATACCTTGGTTGCAGGCTTGATCCCCGGCCCTAGTCAGGGAGCCTACAATCGGTGTATTTCAATCTCTGTCTCCCCATCCCTTCCACTCTCTCTAGTATCAATAGAAAAAATATCCTTGGATAAGGAGTAACAAAACAAACAAAAACACCCTCAGGCACAGATGGACTAGTATAATACTTTATTAGGTAATTTACAGGTACAAAGTGCAAATGACTTGATGGCTGTTTCCCCAACCCCTTATACTCTCTGGATTCTTACATTTTACTCAAGCAAAGGGTTAAAACCAGACTGGCTAAATTAAAAAAAAAAAAAAGATATAAAGGACAAGTTTTCAAACATGCCTATTATCTTGATATCAAAGGAATAATCAAACCAAAATTTCATTACTCCACAACATCCCTTTCCATTGAGAAGTTGGATAGTACAGCACTTGAGGTTGTGGGACTTAGTTTCAGCCAACAGCCAGATTCCATTGCTTTTGGCAGGTAAACAGTAGGCTCTCGCAGAGTTACCAACTCTTCTAACCAAAACAGACAAGTGGATAATTAATTTTAGTGAAGCTTTAAAAACTTGTGAAAAAGTTACATTGACCTTTTTGGCCTCCAGTCCTACAAACTAATACTTCTTCATTCTATAAGATAAAGGAGAAAGCAATTTTATGAATTAACTCTATAAAAGTGAAGCACATGAAAAGGGCCTAAAAGTCACAATATATTAATCAGGATATGAAAAACTGAATTTCCAAAGAGGTTTTCAGGGATGTTAGTCATATATTAACAAATAACTTTATATATAAAGTTATTTGTTAATAAATTCACACAACAGAAAGCAATAATCAAGGAATTTTCATTTTTCTTTCCCAAATACTAAAAGGGGATAATTATACTATCTGCTGTTATTATTTGATAATGATAATATCTGCTAATTAGGACAGATCAGAATATTCTGAAAACTGTGACTAGAAAATATGGAAAATCCTAGAACTATAGTTAATACCATAAATAAAAGAGCCCCAAAGTGAAAAATTAAACATTTAAAAGTATTTTCTTATTACAATTTTTACTAGCCAGATCCTTATAGCCCACAATGCCTTTTGGGGTATTCATCTATTTATTTTTTTTAATAATGGCAGTACAAAATACAAAAACTTTTAAAGTCCTAGACTATAAAGTAACTACTGCTTTCTAATTTAAAGTGAAGCATTATACTAAGAAAACTCACCGTAAAAACTTTACTAATTTAGTATAATTCAATATAAAATTATTCGGTAAAAATACACATAATTCTTTGATTACCATGTCTAAAAAAGGAGAAAATTTTCTTTTTATGGTTTAAAATTTTTGATTCAAACACATAGAGCCAAATGCAGAATTAATTATTAGACCCGCTCTTAACCACGTCCTAAAAAATGCCAGGACTATCTCACACTGCTACATCATGTTAAAACACACTTTAGAAACAGAACACTGAAACAGTTAACATTACTAAGGAATATTAGATCTCCAAGTCAGTATTTACCCACTAGATTTTTGCTGGCTTCCTCAAATTTCTGAGGCAAAACAAAAATAATCTTATAGCTGCCACTTTGTTCCAAAGACAAGTTTCCCAATAAAATAAATGTCTATAGTATTAGTTCACTAAAATAAAATCTTCCCTAACCCAGAGATCTTTTCTTGAAACTGAATAGAGAAAAGAAAAAAAATTGCTAGGGAAATGAAGACATAACCCCAATCTGCCTCCTATAATGGTCTGTCTGTTACAGGATGGAAAAGTGGGCTTGTGTAGTCTTCATCCCACTAGTTATGGGACCTTTTACACCAACAAAATGTAGATATATTACATGTCCCAGGATAGTAACAAGATGGATTAAACAATCTGTACAATTTTAAAAAGCATTATCAAGCCCCCTCAAAAACACATTGAAATGGTTGGAGACCTGAAAATGACCCAATGATTTCTGAGATTAACTAATTGGGACTTAACAAATTTATGGTCCTCACAATGAAATAAAGCCTTCTGGAAGGGAAATGAGTTGTGGTTTGCAAGAACTCAAAGACACTTTGGGATTCACCATAAAACTTGCCAAAAACATGAAATGGAATTAAGAGGATTAAAGATGCACTATTTTTAAAAGTCAGTCTATTTTACTAGAATTTAGAATAAAAAATATTTACAATTATTTTACAATAAAGAGCATTTAGATATCATTTGTCAGGAAAATATTCTTTCATTATGAAAACAGAAAATTGTTGTAAACTTGTGTCTCTGATATCAGTTTCAAGCATTTAACATAACCTCTTCAGAAACTCCACGGCGCAAAAATAAACAACATGCAAACTCTTAAGTACAACTTTACAGTCTTTGAAAAAAGAATATAAATTGCAAAGAAAAGTATATATATAATCAAAGAAGAGTCAGAGTTCAAGTCTGAACTTGGCCAATAAAGGCAGATGATCTGAAGAGTTGTTTTCATTTGGAAGTCCATTAACAGTCCACAAGTCTTGTTCTGTAAGAAGTGACAGTCTAGCTAGAAGTTTCAAGCCTCCAACCAAAGCAACTTCAGTTCCTACATTAAAGAAATATATTTAATGAAACTGTCAACAGGTTGTAAATTAATCATACGAAGTTTTTTCTTTCCAAACAACACAATACAGAACTTAAGACCCCTCTGGAAGTCTAAATGTCGAACAGTTTTCAGAATATGATAAAAATTTTTACTAATATAAGTTGTTAAAAGAAGTTTTGGGAATATAATTAAATATTTGTTGAATGTAACCTAATTATAGTTCTCAAATACACAGCAGTTTCAGATGCTTGTTTTTTTCTATTTAAGATATGTTTTCTATTTCAAGTTCTGAAAATAATCCAGAAGAAAACATCAATGTAATAAGAATGTTAAGATTGACTTGGTATTGACAACTACATAAGAAATTTATCCATCAACCATTCTATAGTTGTATAAAACCAGACAGGGACGGTCAAAGCTAAGTAGAAAGTTTATAAGGTGACTGGAGAATAAATTTATAGTCATTGCCAATTGGGTCAACAGGAAAAATAAAAATGGACATGCTCTTAAATGTTAAAATTGGAGGTGTTGGTCTATGGCACACTTCTGCCACCTAGTGAACAGTTCTTGCACGACAACTACCAGAACCTTATTACAAATTCAAAGGAGCATATTCTGTGGAGCTGATCTAGTGGGGAGGAGTAAGCCATCTCTTGAGTATTACTAATAATGTTATCCTCAGTAGGAAGAAAAAACAAACAAAAGGGGAAAAGAAAAGTAGCACTAAGAAATGAAAGCGAAAATAGGGAAAAGCAGAAAAGACAACAGCTGCCAACATTATGGACTTCCAAAGTTTTCTAAATGGTGTTTTCTGACTTCTACTTATATGAAACTGCATTTTCTTCTCTACGTTAAATCCTTGGTTAATAAAGTCTTGTTTTCATTGACTCATACCAAGAAATGTTTTATCACTTTTGCTTTATGAAAACACAGTCACAGACCTCTTTCGAGAAAAAAAAATAGTCTACAGTCAATATGACAAAACTGTCTATTGTTGGAAGTTTAAGCAAGGCCCTCCAATGAAGGCAGGGTGTGGCAATACAATTTAAGTACAAACAATATGATGTTGCTAGCACAATAAAACAGTAAATCACAGCAAGTAAAACAAAATGGCAATATGAAAGACCTAGAACTCAGAAGGTGACTGGGCTGGAGGGTAGAGCTGAGGATATAATTCCTAGATAATTTGTTTTGAGGTGTTCCACTGTCTCCATCTTTTTCAGGTGATTAAACGATTATTCAAATGCATTACCAATCTGTCAAATATATTACCAATTAAAAATATTTTTCACTTGTAAAGCTAGAACTTCATCTAGATGTTTAGCTAATAACTTTGCCAACTTCAGCCCTGACGTTTTGGTTACTGTGTTCTGGGCAGAACGTAAGCGTCCATGCTTTCTTTACCTGGCTCCCCAGCAACATCTTTCTTTTCCCCAGAATAGAAAATATAATCCACAGTTATGGCACTTCGGGAATGACAGGTGGTCACTTCTGGAATTCCAGTGTCAGGAAAATAATGCGAATACACAGATGACAAGCTGAAATGGTGCTGTAAATGTGAAGATAACCTAAATTAAAAAAAAAAAAGTGGTTAGTATCTATCAAGTTTTTCATGATTTATAATTCCTAATATTAAAGCACTTTTTCATTTAATTTCCAGACAAAGCCAGACATTAGGACAGCTTCACTTAAACAGACGATATCACAATTTGGCATGCATGCAGTGATATCAAAACCCATAAACAAGGCTGTGAAGCATGGCGGGGGGAGCTCAATAATTAACATATGCATGTGATTTTATTAATTCTATTCAGACCTCCACTTACCAATAAACACACATTCTAAAACAATTTACAGGCATTCCTCATTTTACTGCACTTCACTATTGCACTTTGCAGATGTTGCATTTTTTACAAATTAAAAGGTTTGTGGCAACCTTGCAAGTCTAATAGAGCCAACATTCTTCACCAGCACAGAGTATCTTCATTTTTTATCACTTTTTTAAAAGTCAGTTTTGAGGAACTCTTTTAAACTAAAGTCAGCTAATGCCCACTATTGCTTTTCAGAACTCACTTTTCAGCTGTTGCTAGGACTTCTGTTTTATCCAGCTGTGTTTGTGTCGGATCACTGTCTGTAAGAACAAAGAAAACTACATATTTTAATACTGTCAATATACTGTTTTATTCTAGTTTGCCTTAATACAGTCCTTTTATTCTAGCAACAATATTTAAGACATATCTAGTTTAGATACAATGCCTAGTTAAATGTTTCATACTAAAAGCTGTATGTTTTGATGATCTCCAAAATTAGCAAACATAAAATGCAAACATTTCCAAAGCAACATGCAAGTAATTCATGCAAAGATAATTTGGGAAGTTCAACTTTAAAAAGGTAAGTTTAGAGCTCTCTGAATAAAGGAATAAGTAAACAACTTCATGTTTTTATAGTATATGAATATTTATTCCTGAGATGTTATCCTTTTAAAATTTTAGTTTTATGTTCAAAGGGAAAGCATTATGAAGAAGACTGCCAAAATATATTGCAAACACTTACCTGTCTTTTCTACTTTTGGTACCTGCTGTACCTCATACACACAGTTCTGTGAGATACCTAGGTTTGGGGGCCAAATTGGAATAGATAAAATTCTTTGTCCCCGTGAAGACTGTTCCTGGCCAGATACCTAAACAAAATTTCAACAGGTATCTTAAGTGAGTAGATTTTAAATAGTTTATGTATTGAAAAGTTTGTTAAATGAAAGGGAATCCAAGAATGATAAATATTACTTTTTATTCATTATATTAAGTGACTATTTGTGCTTATAGGATCTTGTTCAACTACAGTTCAGAAAGCACTTATTTACATGGAAATGGCAATCTTTTCTTATACGTGTTTTTCTCTAATTTGGCCACCTAAATGATCTATCACTTTTGACTAATATTGCCCCTCCTTTTTGCTACCTGCAATATAGTTATTATAGAAAATACTAAGAGAGGTAAACTCTTACAAAGTTTTAAACTATCAAATGTCAGTGGTGAAAAACTTATTTGGTTAAATATACTGAAGATCAAGGGATCAAAAGTAAGCAGAAGAGAGCACAATGGAAATAATGGGATAAATGATACTCAGCTATGGAATTAAAATATTTATCATTATGCAAAGGAAATTATAAAGAAATATTAAATTACTATTTTGCTAACTGTATTGCTCACATCCAGCATTCCAAAGTCTATTCTGCCACCTTGTGAGTAGTTTCTTATTTATGAAGTATTCGTGTTTGTCAACGTTTCTTTTTTTTTCTCATCCATTTTGGATTTTTTGCAGCCCGCTAATTCCTCCAAGCAGAATGTTGCCACAAATAGATGGAAAAGATGAAATTCAACCACGTGGAGAAAAGTAATTATTAGTAGTCGTGGAAAATCAACATAGGTTGGTAAAGTGAGGGTACTGGATCATTCAAGGTTTCAAACAGGCCTGTGATGTCTATCCTCACGTGACTGTGTACAGAGAGCCAAGTCCACCTCTTAGTAATGATGACGTGAGGACTTACCTTTCCTATGGCAAGTCCTTCATAATTCAATTTTCCGTCCTTTATGAAACTATAGAGCGGAGAACCAGGAACAGAATTAAAGTCCCCACACATAATAATAGGGTAGAAGCTGCCATCTTTCTGATGGGCAACACTGGAAATCTCTGCCAGAAGCATTGCCAATTGGGTCAGCTTAATGTCACCTCGCCTTGGGTTATACAACAGATGTGTGTTAGCTACACAGATTGCAGGAGAGGCACCACTTGGGATTTTGGGCTGCAAGAGTAACACTAATCCAACATTGTCTCTGTCCAACAGAGGAACATCAGGGCGGTAGAATTCCACTGGGTTCACTGATAAAAGTGAAAATTTGGAATGTTTGAAGCAAATGGCACAGCCATCCGGTTTCCTTCCCGTACGCATCTTGTACTCACAGTGATAACCTATTAAAAAAAAAGAAATTTAAAACAATTTAAATTGGGACTTTTATATATATATATATATATATATAGAGAGAGAGAGAGAGAGAGAGAGAGAGAGAGACAGACCCAGTGCATGAAATTCATGCACTTGGGGGGGGGGGGGTGTCCCACAGCCCAGCCTGCGCCCTCTTGCAGTCCATGAGCCCTTGGGGAATGTCCGACTGCCAGGGAGCAGGCCTAAACCATCAGCTGGACATCCTTAGCGCTACCTCGGAGGCAGGAGAGGCTCCTGCCACCGCCACTGTGCTCGCCAGCAGTGAGCCCGACTTCTGGCTGAGCGCCACCAGGGGGCAGCTCATGTGTTGAGCGTCTACCCCCTGGTGGTCAGTGCACACCATAGCGACCGGTCATTCCACCATTCGGTCGATTTGCATATTAGCCTTTTATTATATAGGAAGTATACACACACACACACACACACACACACACACAGCTAATATTTTTGAACAATGTTTACCAAAGTGTTTTTTGCAAATACACTTTGTAGGAATAAGTGGAATCAAAAAAGTTTGGGACTAGGACTAAAATAGGTCTCTTTATGGGTAGATTTCAATCTTAAATATGCTAATGTGTAACATCATTGCTCTCATTTGCATCCTAGTAAAAATCAGTCATGACAAAGACAGCAGGGACTTATAATAACCTACCCACCAAGTACCTCTGATCTTTTTGCTCTAACTCTTCCCTTCTTGCTCCACTCCACACACACCAGTCTGCTCATCTGCCTTAAGGCACTACAACCTTAGGGCCTTTCCTTTGCTATTTCCTCAGTCTGGAATGGTTTAGGCATGGCCTTTTCATTCACCTCCTTCAAGTCTTTGCTCAACTGTCACTTTCTCTGATCATCTGTTTACAACTGAAATCTGATTCATTCCACTTTCCTGCTTTTCTCCAGAAAACTACCATTACTTCATGAACTATTTACACATTTATTTGATTTATTGTCAGCCTTTCTCCACTAGAATGTACACTGCACAAGGGCAGAGACTTGTTATCTGTTTTGCTCACTGCTGTATCCCCCCTGCCTAGAACAGGGGTGGGGAACGTCCAGCCCGGGGGCCATGTAAGAACTGCGAAATCCTTCTGTCTGGCCCTGCCTAGGCATTAGGGGTGAGTTCATTAAATGTTTGACCACATGTAGCGGGCTAATTTTTAAGTTGATAATTTTGTATGGACCACGAATGATGTTACAAATATGCAAATGGCCCTTGGCAGAACAAAGGTTCCCCATCCCTGGCCTAGAACAAACATTGCATGATGTTCAGCAGGTATTCAAAAAATATTTCCTGAATGAATGCAAAGTAGGCAGCATTTCTCAAACAGATAATTTAAAAGTGTTCACTCATCAAAGTTTTTAGTTTCTATCCATTAGGCACTTGTAAACACTTGTGTTAAAATAATGACCTAGACAGAATAGTCCCTCATTTCATGGAACTCAGAATTCTGAGTCTAGTAGTGATGGGCAAAGCAACTCCTACAAAGAAAGCTATTAAGAGATTCTTACACATCTTTCCCTTTGAATTAAAATTACATACCAGCACAAAAGTTTCACTTGAAATATGTCAATCTTTTCCTGGCCTTTTGAAATAGATATTACATTTTTCAAAATTAAGATTTTGGGCCCAAATACACCACACTTCTTTGTTAGCAAGTTATGCTTTAACAACATACCAATCTTCCAAAGTAAATTTGGCTAAAATAAAAGTTACATTGTACCCAACGATTCCAAACTTGGCCTGATCTCTGTTCCATAATGATCTTCTTGAACTTCTTGCAAACAAAGTACCTTGGAAGAAAAAAGAGGGTTTGAATTAAAAAAAAAAAAAAAAGAGACAGAGATAAATGTTCTGGTGCTTCCATCTCTGAACACAGGCTTTAAAATTTTAAAAGCCTGATGAAAATTGCAAAATCCTTGTTTTTCTTATAATTTACAGGTCAATCAAATTAATGTTATATTTCCAAATTTGACCAATGCCCCACGCCCTGGCCTTTACTCACATGAAGCTTTATTACTATGTAAAACTTAACTATATTCTTAATTTACACATCAGAATATTTTCCCTGAATTTATACATGTATTAGTACTAAATCCTTCTTGTCCTTTCTTAAGAAGTGATTTCTTTGAAAGTCATTTTTTAGATTAATTTTTGCATCAATTACTTAAATTTAAAATAAAAGGAAATATTTACTAAATGCTTAATATGTTGCTAGACCCTATCTCAGAACTGACCAATACTTAAGATTTTTGGATCTTTTTGAAAAGTTAGATGATTATTTGTACCAACAACCATTAGCAAATGATTCTTTGGAAGTCATGATACCTTGTTAAAAACTGTTCCATCACTATATTTAAATGTCTTCCCTTCTTATAAAACAACAGGGAGAAAACCATTTAGTTTACAAATAAACCATTTAACCCAACTCTTTCTTGTGTGAAGAATTTAGATATTTTGTACTTACATCTGCATCAAAGTTTTTAATTTCTTTCAGAATATTGGGAAACCTAAAACTCCAGTGTAATACTGGTCGCCGGCAGTGTCTATAGAGGTGTGAATTATCTTCCAATAAATTTTGTGAAAGTATATTATAGGACATCACTGTAAAGTCAAACTTGTTCTCACTGTCTTCACATATGGGGTCAACATTTTTGTCTCCGAGAATCTTCGTATTTTCTTTATTATGGTTACATATATATTCCCAATGCCGTTTGATGGTGCCTGTTAAAACATTGGACAAAATATAAAGAATTAATTTTAAAAACAGGCCATATGTTTTCTTGTATATAAATATTTTCTTGTCTTTTAAAAATTTCCATAAGCAACGAACATAATGTTTTCCCATAGAAAATGGCAATATAGCACTGAATAACCAGAAGTTGTCACCAAATTGATTAAAAGGCTGTAAAATGAAATACTGGCTAACAAGAGGTACACAACAGGTTAAAAGGATGTAGCAAGTCATTCTGGAGATGAAGAGTGTGTGTTATTAAAACTAAGACTATACAGGGGTCTGGTTTTTGACTTCTTTATGGTTAAAAAGTGACTTAGCAACTTTGTAACCATAATAAATATTTGTATGTCACAGCTGGCTTTCCAATAAGATCATTTCACATATTTTATTCCCTATTAGTAAGATAAGATCATCCAGTGATTCCATAAAGAACACATCTCAGAATTTTGCTTTAGACACAAATGGTGTATCCAGTGATTCCATAAAGAACACATCTCAGAATTTTGCTTTAGACACAAATGAAGGGTGATATATAGAAGCAGTATTTAGTGTCTAAAACTGAAGTGGGACGATGCAAACAAAATGAACAAAAAAATTCTTTTTAATGCATACCAAAGCAAAAGTTACATGTAACATAGTTACAGAATGCTGGTAAATGATAATGGCTGGTTGACGAACCTAGCATGCAGCAACCAGGAATGTGTGATGATTTATATTCTGCAAAGACATCATGTACCCTGAAAAAGTGATGAAAAGAGAATCAAAAAGCATGAGATTTTGCAATTACAGGCAGTCCTCAATTTAGAAATGACCACCATATATGTTTTCACCTTTGATCTTGTCTCCCTCATCCCACCACTAAAGGGCATACTTTAATGGCCTGGAAGCCATGAAGAAAAATGTGGAACTTTTAGAGAATGTATGAACTCAAAAGAAGGAGAAAACAAAAAATGGGAAGACTTTGGAGAAATAAACTAGGAGATGGACTTCCAAGCATGATTCAATAATATAAGAAATCTCAGCCCTAGAATCTCTCCCTTTTCTTGCACGAAGGTTTTTATTTTATCGGATTACACAATACCTAACATTCCACCAATACAGTGGCTTTCAACCTCTAGAGTTTGTACAACCCTTCACATTACGTTTCATGTCATGAACATCGATCCCTGGTATACTGGGACTGGGAGTGGAGTGATGGGGTAAATACATTTATCCTGACCACACTGCTTTGAATAAACATACAGAAATGTGTTTGAATGCTAGAGTTCCATGGAAGACAATTTGAAAACCACTGATAGAGTAAATAGTCTTTGGCCTTCACATACTTCACAACATAAATTCATACCACAAAAGCTTATATACCTTCCATGTCAGGAGGAACAAGGTGATCACAGCAGAGAAGACAGATGAATCAAAGAAAGTAAGCACTAGGCCTGATCAGGTTTTTAGGGTGCCTAATTAAAAAGTCTTAATTGTGTCACACAAATCCTTCAAATACCACTTTAAAGTGATAGGCAAGTTAGCAATGCTGTTCTCTTGATTGAAAAGTATTAGTGAAATATCGGAAGTCACAAATATGGCTTAACGAAGAGCATTTTCCTTATTCACAATACCTAGGAAGAATGGACATATACAGAGTCAGGTTGCAATCCAAGTTTATCAGTGTGTAAATGTAATTCCCCATCCATTAAAGGGAAAACACCACCACCACAATTTTCTGAGTACCTACTATGAAGCCAATAGTATGCTGGGCACTTTGACATATCATTTCATTGTCAACAGGCTTTGAAAGTAAGCATTACTTTACACTAGGAAACCAAGGAGCAGATTCAATAATCCGTCCAAGTTCACACAATCGGTGGAGCAGAATGACAGCAGGGAGTGGTTCCTAAGCCCATGCTTACGTCCTATGGCACATGGCACAGCTCCACCTGACAGCTACCAGATTTACAAAAGAGAAGTGTGCTGCCTCGATAGGCGATGAATACATCAATGAAAAGCAATCTCATATCATATAGCCCTAGATTTACAGACTATGGATTGTTCTTAGGAAACTAATTTTAATGCCTCTAAATCTTTCATTGATTCAAACTGTGGTTAATAGATTCTCATTTCTGAGTGAAAACAGATTTTCACTTCTGAGTGCTTAGAATTTCTACTTAAATGTGTAGTAGAATTTCATCTTAAAAGAACACTAACTAATCTTCTAGCTCTGACTTCCAGGTTAATGTCATCCTTTGACAAGGTTGTGTCTGCTCTCTACACATTAACACCTACACAGCCTACTTTCAATTATCTTCAGAGGCATCATCTTCAAGGAAAACCATAGCTCAGTCAAGAAGACAATTCCAATTATATCCTTGGGGGCAGGGTTAGGACTGGCAGCATAGAGGGAGTCTTGTTAATTGTTTAGAGTAAAAAGAATATGAGAAAAACAGCAATAACCAACACATTTAGAAAAAACGGTTTCTTAAAGTTGAATAAGATATTTTAAAAGATAAAACTTCCCACAGCCTCTCAAGATTAGATCAGTAGACCTCAGGATGAAAATACAGATTTCATAAGGTAAAATCCTATTCTGTGAGAAATTATCTTTCAATTGATTATTTCTATTTAAGAAAATTCTTTTGTCTTATTTTTAAAAGTTATCATTTTAAAAAGTTAGCTTAAAAATGAAAACATGAAATTTAGTTTTATAGATCTGTGGACTTCCAATAATACATCCACCAATTTCTAAGAAATCTAAGAACCTTTGTTTCAAAAACACTGGATTTAAAAATTATTCTTAAATTAAACTTAATGTTTTAATCTAGTCCTCCATTCTTTTCCACCTTATCCTATTTGTAAAGTCACTTCTGTTTTTACTGCCAGAAATACACAATTAATTGAAGATAAGAATAACTGCATTTAAAAAAATAATGTCCCTTTTCCTTACAGAAAACTACTGGCTGAAAGTAAAAACCAAACACCTCTAAAACCTGCAGGAGGTTTTCTTGAAGATTAGGCATGAAGGTTGCAATCAGTCCATGGCTTACATCTATTCCTGCACCAAGATAAATGTCACCTTTACCTTGGCGTTTTCTTCGTTTTGATGAAGGCTCATCTCCCTCAGAGTTCATGATGGAACTAGAGAGATGAATCAAAGATGTCTGGCTCAGGCTGTCAGGTCTCCAATTCCAGTACTGAAACTGAGTTCTAGACTCAAACAAACAAGGTGGTCTCCAATTTAATGAGAAATGCCTACTGCTGAAGTAGGGGTAAGGAGCACGAGAATAATGTCCAGGCCACCTCATACAACTAGAAATATGTCTGTTCCAGCAACACCTTTGCAGATTCTCCCACGGTGTAGTCCAGTCTCTGCCCAGACTCCTCTGGTGATGGGGTAACATGGGGTATCTAAAAGAAATAAATACACTCCTTGAGGCACCACTTTAGGTTCTGCTACAGTACACAAAACCCAAATCTGTTTCCTCGAGGGAAGTCAAGGTCTCATATTTACAATCTGACTTCTAAATCTGTGAAGGAAGTGGGAAAAGCAGCCATCATTTAACTATTAGAGCAGTATATCAATATTCTCCTAAACAACTAGGACTGGTATTCTAAACACTTACTGTAGAATCCACCAGTTTCCAAAACAACACATTCACTTCAAGAAGTCCACCACAGTTCAACTGAGAGCTAAATCAACCATCAGTTTAGCTTTCTGGCATCTAATAAAACGTAATGGACAAATAAAATCCACAGCAAGCATAATACTCATCAAATAAGTATTAACTAACACATAAGCTGACTACAATTAAAGTGAACCTGTCTTCCAACTTGGTTTGGAGTAAAAACTAAACCTGTTTCTGAACAGTTTTTTTTTTTTTATACCAAAGTTGTATCTTCCCAATGTTTGTATCGCTAAAACAAAACCCTATCACAACTTCACAAAAAGACCTCTCTGGCTAATCATTAGGTGGATAATTTATTTCTCTCTCTCTCTCTCTCTCTCTCTCTCTCTCTCTCTCTCTCTCTCTCTTTTTAAAAGCATGCTTTTCCTTGAGGGAAATGGAAGAGCATAGAGATTACTTACTAGAATTCACCAATTTAACCCATCATCCAAAATATCTCCAAAGTAGCATTACCATTATGTTCAGTAGATATGTTGCTCAGGCTCTATTGGGCACCATCTTCTTACTATACTATTCTGGCAAAATATTAGGATTGAGGACTTCTATCCTTCCCTTCCAGAATTCATTAAAGGTACATTTTTCCAAGGTGGTGTCAATAATGTCCACTTCTGTTACTAAAGGAATTTCGCTTAAAGTGTATCTTCCGTTACTTGACTTTTATAGGTTATGTTCTTTTCATTTTAACAACATCTAATTCTTATTACATATTTATGGTGTTTATACATTTTCAAACTGTTCTCTAAGTTCAACTTAACTGTGAATCTTTAAAGGCATGAATGGGCAGACTAACATGTCTGGTGACGACATTACTTGCTCAATATATTTTCCATCCTAATAAGCGACCATGTTGAAGTATCATACCTGCAACTACAAAACGTTCTCTATATTTGCAGTTAACTTTCAGGGTAGGGCAAAAGTAGGTTTACAGTTGTTCCCATGGAAAACAATACAACAATTAATAACTAATACAAGAATAAGTTGTGGTTCGGTACTCACAACAGGAAACCTACTTTTGCCCCACCCTGGTAGAGATGTCTTATGAGCTCCTGCAAAGCCAGAACTTTGTTCATCGTTATCGTTTTAACCCCCCGGCACTTCCCAAGTGCCTAGCACAGTGCCTGGCACACAGCTGGTACTCAAGAAAACATGGTTGAACCGAACTGTCATCAAGTCCCAGAACGACAGGAGTGAACACCCAATCCCCGCAACTGATGTCATCATTAATACAGGGCTGTGCTTCCCACGTGGGGGACACGAGCCAGTCCCATATGGCACACAATTAAACCGCTTGGTTTTTAACATCGGATTATTTACTTTAAAGGTGTATTAAGAAAAACCCCCCATCGGTCCATCCAAGCCAAGATTCCGCAGGTAACTGCTCAGGGCTTCGCTCCTGTGGGCAGCACTTATCCAAGTGCTTTTTCAAGTGAGTCAATTTCAAGGGGAACAAAAAATCTCCAGTAAATAACACAGGTGTGAACGAGAATTCGGTTGGTACACGAGTGACTCGAGTTTGGGACACACGAACACTCCAACCAAGCATCCCCGGCGTGTGTGCGGCGCGCGCCTCCCTCGGGGTCAGAGCGCGGGACCTATGGGGACCAGCGGCCTCCCGGGACCGTCAGCTTCCGGCCGGTGCAGCGGGGCCTGCGGGGCGCGGGGAGGCTGGGCGGGGGCAGTGGGCCGGGCTCCAAGCCGAGCCTGGTCCGGAGGGCACCCGCCCCGCCGGCCGCCGATGCGCTCCGCAACTGGGCCCGCGTCCTCGGGTCCCCGTGGCCCAGCGCCCGGCGGCGGCGGGCGGGTTTACCTATCCCTGGGGATCCCTGGGGGCCTCCGGAGGCTCCTCCCGGCAGCACCACCACCCGACCCTCTTCCTCCTCCTTCCTCCCCCTCCCGCCCGGCCCGGCCCGGCCCACCCCGACCGCCCGCGCCTGCCCCCGCCCCCAGCCGCCCCTCCCTCCCCTCCCTCCTCCCTCCGCCGCCCAGACCTACTGACCGGCCTCTGCCCACCACACAGCGGCCGTAGCCCCTCCTCATACAGCGCCACGCTTCCATCTCGCCCCCAGATGGCCGTCAGGGCCTCAGGCTCCCGGCTCCACCGCAACCTCTACGAGAGGTTTGGCGGCCGAAAGCCCCAGGGGCTCCCCATCGCCAGACACCGGCTCGCGGCCGGGCTGCAAAGCACGCTGGGAGGTTCAGTCTCGCCCGCGGCCAAGTCCCCATATTGCGCCGCGGAAGTCCCGGAATTGTGTTCCGGAAGCAGCTTCGCGGGGCGAGTGAAGCTCGGGCAGCCATTTCTGAAGAGGGCAAAACACCCGCCCTCCGCCTTAAAGAAACAGGAAGAAATAAACTGCTGACCAGCTTTAGGGCCTGTGGGAGGGGGTACAGGGTGGTTACTGTATGAGAGTAAAAAGAAAGAAATGTTATAGTCTCGCGTTTTTATAATGTCCTTGGGAGATTCGGAAGGTGGACGCTCAAAGTAGGGAAATACCCTTTTCTGGGTTCCCATATAGAACTTGGGCACCACGGATTTGGGCCATTAATTCTGCAGGAACACATCCGCAGAGTTCGCTTTGGAATGTACCTGTGCGTCGTGCCTGTCCATCTTTATGAATTTTGGCATATGACTCGATATGATTCTTGGAAAACAATATTTAAGTGAAGAACCCCCACTCCCCCTCCAAGAGAAAGAACTGCTCAAGAACAGAGGGGCTCTTTGGAGAGCAGTAGAGTCATGTCTTGGAAAGACTTTTTTCTCTCTTGGGTTTGTGGACGAAAGGGGCCACATGCTGACCTGACAAGCTCAGGAGAGGCCTGCATGGCAGTTTTGCAAACTCGGAGACCTAAAGTAACCACAAAGGATGGTCTGAAATTAAACTTTAACTAAAAGCAGTGATGGTGGGCAGTTACGTCCTGGGCCAGTATCTTCACTGACAAGGTCAACCTCTACCGTAACTGAGCCTATCTGTCTTTTTGCATCTATGATAACATACCCTTGAAATGTCTGGGTAACTTGTGACTTCTCTTTATCTGGAGCCCCTGGACACAACCAAATGTGCTGGGCCCCAGGACAGATACCACAAATTCCTTCATCATCATGTTAATTGTTCCTGCACCCACCTAAGTATGTGTCCATCATTTTACTTTTTATCCAATCCCAGGGGTTTCCCTGCTTTGCTTATCCCTCCTCCTTAATCTATCACCAATTAATTTCATGTAACCCACCTATGTTCCTTCTTTGATTGCTATGTATAAATACGGATGTAACCCCGCCATTCTCTGGAGCACTATCTCAATTCGTTGAGGTTCTGCTTCCCGGCATATGTGGACAGTTTGACTCAAATAAACTCACAAAAATTCTTCACAGGTTTCAATGGTTTTTTTTTTTTTTTTTTTTAATATATTTTATTGATTTTGTACAGAGAGGAAGGGAGAGAGATAGAGCGTTAGAAACATCGATGAGAGAGAAACATCGATCAGCTGCCTCCTGCACATCTCCCACTGGGGACGTGCCCACAACCCAGGTACATGCCCTTGACCGGAATCGAACCTGGGACCTTTCAGTCCGCAGGCCGATGCTCTATCCACTGAGCCAAACCGGTTTCGGCTCAATGGTTTTTTTTTACGTTAACAGGTTAATAAGGAAATAAGAGGCATTTGAAGAACACCCTTTTCCTTCAGTGTAAATATAGGTAATTCCCGTTATTTGTGCTAGTTATGTTCCAAAGCTACTACCAACACTGAATTAGCTAATACTGAACCATTGCTCCCAGGGGAAAACAGGGCTATTCCTGGTGAGCCACTCACTGGTCACAACGTTTTAAGTCACCTAATCAATACAAAACCCTGTTTTATGTGTTTCGGCTTAAAGACACTTTATCTGATATATGTTTTCCTATTAACATCGAATTCATGGCCAATAGCACTGTAACTCATGCCCGAGTGAAGCTTATCTACACATGCACTTCCTCCATAAGGCACATCGCAGAGATCTTGCACTTAAGAGCATTGGCTAGCACTTCAGCACTACCCTTAGGGACCATTTTAAACAGAAAAATTACCAACAAAAAGCACAAACGTGTGAAAAGCGTGGCACTAAATAGACTGTGAAGAGGATACTTGTTTACAGTGTGCGAGCTGAAATGAGAAGGCAGAGCTTTGCTTCCTTTGACCTAAGGAGGGAATGTGCACTTTGGGCAACTAAATTTTTCACCACTCTGCACAGATCTATAAACGGAGATAATAATAATTATGAAAGTGAGGATTTAATAAAAGGTAGCTGTGAAGATTCTGGTATAAGACACAGAGAGACAGAAATGTTTTATTTTTGCATCGATTTTGTATGCGAAATAAACGAATACATAAAATTGGTTAAATGAGCTATCAGATACTGAATAGATCAGGGGTGGGCGAACTTTTTGACTCGAGGGCCACAATGGGTTCTTAAACTGGACCGGAGGGCCGGTACAAAAGCATGGATGGAGTGTTCGTGTGAACTAATATAAATTCAAAGTAAACATCATTTCATAAAGGGGTACGGTCTTTTTTTTTTTTTTTTTTTAGTTTTATTCATTTCAAACGGGCCGGATTCGGCCCGCAGGCCGTAGTTTGCCCACGGCTGGAATAGATAATACACATACTTTAACAGAATTTTATGCAGATCCTTTGGGAAACTCAGAGGAAATTGAAAAGATAAAAGTGTTATAAAATCAAAAAGTAATATAGTGTAGATTCAATATATAAGGCATTTATTTAATACTTAGGTATTTTAGCCAAGAATGGGTATAATATGCCCTAAACCAGTGGACGGCAAACTGCGGCTCGCGAGCTACATGCGGCTATTTGGCCCCTTGAGTGTGGCCACAAAGTTTCAATCGCACTGTACGTGTGTGCCCACACGTGGTATTTTGTGGAAGAGCCACACTCAAGGGGCCGCAGTTTGCCAACCACTGCCCTAACCGGTTTGGCTCAGTGGATAGAGTGTCAGCCTGCATACTGAAGGGTCCCAGGTTCCATTTCGGTCAAGGGCATGTACCTTGGTTGCGGGCACAACCCCAGTAGGGGTTGTGCAGGAGGCAGCTGATCAATGTTTTTCTCTCTCATCGATGTTTCTAACTCTCTATCCCTCTCCCTTCCTCTCTGTAAAAAAAAAAAAAAAAAAAAAAAAATCAACAAAATATATTTTTTTAAAAAGGAATGGGTATAATAACCTATTTGGAATTATTGTTACAAATTTCTTCTGTTCTTCAAGAAACCTGTACCATTGCTGATGTAAACCTCCAAGTTAATGAAGTTACATAATCATATATACATGTGCCTAACATTCATATATGAATATAGAGTAAAAAATTATTTTTTCCCTTTGGCTCTTAAAGAGTAGAATTTAGCAACATGTGGATTGCAAGGAAAAGCTAAAAAATAAAGATAAAAATTCAAGCCCTAACCGGTTTGGCTCAGTGGATAGAGTGTCGGCCTGCAGACTAAAGGGTCCCAAGTTTGATTCCACTCAAGGGCATGTACTTTGGTTGTGGGCACATCCCCAGTAGGGGATGTGCAGGAGGCAGCTGATCGATGTTTCTCTTTCATCTAATGTTTCTAACTCTCTATCCCTCTCCCTTCCTCTCTGTAAAAAAAAAATCAATAAAAATATATTTTTTAAAAAAGATAAAAATTCAAGTTTGAAATGTCTCTCAACACCTACACATGTTCTTATACTTCACGCTCAACCTCCAAATTCTGGAAAATATTTCTATATAACCTACTAACTCAATAAAAATATCCCAGGTTGTCATGGTGACATAGTTCTTTCCCCTGCAGAACATTGTAGTCTGGTGCAGTGGTTTCCTAATTCCTTATGGTTGTGAAATCTTTCTTTTTCTGTGTTTCACCTTTCCAGCCTAATACTACATCTGAGCCTGCTAGACCGGTGGCAAATTAAAGATTTAATTTGGAATAAGGTAAACTTAATTAATAGTAAATCAGTCTGGAAAGCTGATGAGATCCTTTGTGGGTATATGTCCCGCAATGGTCCTTGATGAAAACATTACAGCATTCAGTCCTTGCTAGAATTTCTCCTTTATTTCTTAACCTGTATGGGCTGATTAAATTTTAAAAATCTTGTCCAGGTTTTTAGAACAATGATAGGAAATTGGTAGTCAGGATATGAACTTTGGGTTAGCTATTCTCTTCCCTTCACCACTAAACCCTTTTTTAGTCCCATCTCTCAGTCCCAAAATGGGAGCTTTGCAGGTTTGTGAGTTCCTATAGTGCAGAGACTTGTGGATGTCATGGATTTGAGCTCAGTTCTGACAAATGATCTTGCTGCCTACGTTGGTCTGCTTCAGGGCTCCTCGAGTTATCTTTGTGGGAAGGTATTCAAGAGCAAGGGCAGGTCTTGGCAAGGATTCCTTGGACACAGAGGAGAATGAAGAGGCTAAGAAATGGAACAGCAGAGGAAAGCAAGAGAAAGCCGCATGTAAGCAACAGGAAAACACTCTTTGTGGTTGTCTAATACCCATTTGAGGAGAGAAACCATACCTTTTGTTTGTCTATGTGATGAATAAATAAATGGCTATTTGGTGGTACCATTACCAAGTATTTTGACTTTGCCCATGCCCAAAGCACGTTCTCCATGAAGGCTAATATCAAAGTGTAAGGTATGTATCACTTTATTCTCTTTCATGAATCTTTAGTTCATAAGTAGTTATCTAAACCTGGAAAGTCTGGGATCCTAGAGGTAAAAAAAAATATTTAAGGGAGTCTTTGAGCTCTTGCAATATTTAGAAAGATCTAATTAAAATTGAGGGAAAATCTGCAACAAGGAAGCAAAGGCTTCCCAAAACATTGAGTTTCCTTGCTCTTGACTGATAATACATGAGTTTAGTATGGGCAAATATGTTATTTCATTTTGGTCACAAGCTCACGTCAGTAGTTATATGTCAATGACTTTGGTGAAGAAGATAAAACAAATCATTATAATTTAATATATTTAATTTTATTGGGAAAACAGAAACATCTTCAGAACCTTGGAGTTCAGACATTCCACAAATAACTCTTATCTTTTATTCACTGCAACACATACATGTCAGCCCTAAGTTAGCCAACATAAATATTACCACCCCGTCATAGGTGCTGTGCTTGAGAGGTAGATGAAATAGAGATGTGGGGGCAGAGAGGAAGGAGCATCTAATCCTCCTTGAAAAAGAAAAGAAAAGAAAAGAAAAGATGGGGGCTGTGAAAGAAGGCTTTGGAGAGAAATTAGTCCGTGAGAGAGCTGATTCCTGAACGCTGGTGGGGTTTTCAAAAGAAACAGATGGCTTGAAGATCTGGAGGTGCTAATTACAAAAGGGTTTAGCTGAAACCTGGAGAAATGAGACTGACAGTTGACAGGGACCAGACTTGACGAATCCTAAAAACCATAGCAGAGAAATCATGGCAACAGGATTCACTGAAGACTTTTACAGAGGAGTAACCTGATGACATATGCTTTAAAAATGGACAATTTTAATGATAATATGAAGCATGAATTGGACAGGGCTAGGAAGACCAGGCTCATTATTTTCTTAATTAAAAAACTTGTTAATTGGGTACAGCACACACACATGAAAGCGCATACATATTAAATGTTTAGCTTGAAGAACTTAGAGACAGAACCTAGGGAGAGAACATGGCAAAAGATCCTGGATAGAACCTGGCTACAGAACTTGGCTGGAGAACCTAGACAGAACATGGCAGGAGAACCTGGGCAGAACCTGGCAACCGAACTTGGCTGGAGAACCTACAGAACCTGGATAGAACATGGCAAGAGAACCTGACTAGAACTTGGTGACTGAACCTGGCTGGAGAACCTGGACAGAACCTGGCTGGAGAACCGAGCGAGGGAACATGGCTACAGAACCTGGCTGGAGAACCTGGCTGGAGAACCTAGCAAGAGAACATGGACACAGAACCTGGCTGGAGATCCTAACCAGAACTTGGCTAGAGATCCTGGCTAGGCTGCTGATCAACTGAAAAAAAAAATGTTCAGCTTGATAAATGTTTTCATATATATATATGTATGTATACATATGTATATATTTTTATGTAACCACTAACCAAATTAGGAACTTTTCCAACATCCCAGAAGAGTCTCTCTCCTGTGCTTCCCAGGCAATACCCATTGTAGCTTCCACTCCTTCACCCCACATTCTATGGAGAACCTCTATTCTGGCTTCTATCACCGTAGATTCATTTTTCTTTACCTTTATATAAATGGAATCATGGGCTATGTAATCTTATGCCTGACTTCTTATGCTCAACATTACCTGTGTAATTTCTCCTTGTTGATGAATGTAGCAGTTCATCCTTTTTAATTGCCATGTATATCCCATAGTATGATTTTATACCACATTTAACTTATCCGTCTTACTGCTGATTGACACTTGGGCTGTGTCAATTTTTTTGACCTTATGAATAATAGTGCTTAGAACGTTTTAATGTATCTTTTGTTAATGGATATACCCACTCACTATTCTTGGGTATATGTCCAGGAGTGAAATTGCTATTATAATCAGTATGCTTACTTTTAGTCATTCTGGTACCAGACTGTTAGGTGGACATCAGGCTATTATGAATAAAGCTGCTAAAGATATTCCTGATAGATCCTCCCTTCCCCCAACTGGTGGGTGGAATATGATGTAACCTGCAGCCCGGACATACCTGAGTGACTAACCATGTACCTTATATGGACTATACATTGGACGACCAACCCACACCTGCCAAATACCCTAAGCCCTTGTCCTATATGGATAATGCAGTAAGCCACCAATCAGTGTGCGCTGAGTACACTAAGCCCCCCACCCCTTCCCATTCCGCCCCTCAAAAGGCGTGCCCACCCCTGCACGTGCTGCTGTCCTCCCCTTTCGAGACAGCCCGGCAGGTCCTTCTCCTCTAATAAAGCCTGTAGTCCTGGTTTTCGGCCTCTGTCTCATCTTTCAATTCCCATATAGGTCTTTCTATGGACATATATTTTCATTCCTCTTGAGTTCAGGTACCTAGGAATGAGATTGCTGTGACATCTGGTAAGCCTATGTATATAAGAAACTGCTAAACTGTTTCCCAATGTGGCTGTATCATTTTGAATTCCCACTGGCAACTTGAGAGTTCCAGGTGCTCCTGTCCTTGTCAGTATTGGGTAGTGTCAGTTTAAAAAAAAACTTTAGCCATTGTTATAGTTCTAAGGTGATATCTCATTGTATTTTTTTTTAATTGAAATAAAATTTATATAACAAAATTCATCAGTTTAACCATTTTAAAGTGTATGATTCAGTGATTTTTAGTATATTCCCAAGAATGTGCAATTATTACCATTAATTACTGATTCAATAGTTTTAATTGTTGTAGGTCATGTATTCAGATGTTTTCTTTTTTCTTGAGCCAGTTTTGTTTTTGGTTTTGGTTTTGGCCAGTTTAAACATGCTTTCCTTTAGCTCTTTGAAAATATTTAAAATAGCTTCTTTAAAATCTTTGTCTAGTAAAGTCCAACATTTGGGCTTCCTCCTGGACATGGTTTTTATTGATTGCTGTTTCTCTAATTATGAGTTATACTTTCTTGTTTTTAGGATGCCTCATAATTTTTTTGTTGAAAACTGAACATTCTGAATATAATAATGTGACAATTCTGGAAATCAAATTATTTTCCTACCTCAGAGTTCACTGTTACTACTTGGCTATTCCCTATCTCTCTTTCAAGATTCAGCTATAGTTTCAGCTCTAACATAAGAAAACCTTAACTAATCTTTCATTCTGAATTAGATGTGCTCTACAGCTCTCTCTCTCTCTGTCTCTCTATATATATCCTGGTACTTAGCATGATATATTTTAATTACTCTCTGTTTTTTCCTACTAGATGCCACTAGATAGCAGGGACCATCTTTTTTAACTCCAATGCCTAATTAACATGTCTGGCATATAGAAGGTGGTGAATTCAAGTTTAATAAATGAATGATAGATTTATGCATATGTAGGCAGAGAAGGAGACAGTGATGAGGAAGAGATTAAAGGTACAGAAAGCAGCCCTAACCGGTTTTGCTCAGTGGATAGAGCGTCAGCCTGCGGACTGAAGGGTCCCAGGTTCGATTCCCGTCAAGGGCATGTACCTTGGTTGCAGGCACATACCCAGTAGGGGGTGTGCAGGAGGGAGCTGGTCTATGTTTCCAACTCTCTATCCCTCTCCCTCTCTGAAAAAAAAAATCAATAAAATATATTTAAAAAAAAAGGCTACAGAAAGCAGAGTTGGGATGCCATTGATGAAACAATGTCTGCCAAAGAGGATAGGTTTCAGTGCACAGGAGGAGTGATTAGTTTTAAAAATGAGATATGTCTACATCTCAGATCGGGATAGAAATGTGAGAACATGAAGGGATTGTTACTAAGGTTCATCCTTTTCTCCCTCTGTAAAGAAGTGGGGGCAGAGGGCAAAGGGTAGGGAGTCAAGACGAAGAGGAATAGAGGATTGAAGAAAATGACAAAGACTTGGAATGACTGTTATGGAGAATGGCAATTTCCTGATCAAGGAAAGGTAAAGGAATTGCCAAGCTGTGGATAGAATCAATTGAAACTGGAAACTCTATCTTCCTAGTTTTGAGAGCTCGTCTGATTCCCCCCGCAAGCCAGACACTGGCTCCCACTTTTAGAATCTGAGGGGATGAATTTCAAAATTGACACAGGGTTGGGGCTTGCGGTGCAGGCAGAAAGACAGGCGCACAGGTGGACAGGATGCCTGTTAGAGAGAAGAAAGAGTCATGTCTGCGGAAAGTTCAAATGCTATTGTAGGTATTTAAAACGATAGACCGTGAGTGGGGAAGGAAAGAAGATGCTCGGCCAGGGTATCGCTCCACCCTTAATACTTGTGCACACCGGCGGGGCAGGGGATGGAGGTCAAGCTGCCACCGGAATGTCGTGGCCGTAACAGCTGTCACAGAATCCGGAAGGGGACGGCGCTAGCGCATAAGCAGACTTGGGAGAGGCGTCTTGGTCCTCCGCCGCGGCGGTCCTCGCCTACTTGCCAAACCCAGGCTCGGGGCGGTTCAGAACCTAAAAGGAAGTTTTCCGTCCCCAAGAGGCTCCGACCCGGAAGTTCCTCTGCCGACCCGGAAGCAGAGCCGTGCGCCAGCGGCGCCGCGGCGGAGCCACCGCCCCCACCGCTGTGCGGCTGCTTCGCCCCACTGGGGACCCGGGGAGCGCCGCGCCGGGCGCCCAGATGGTACTCGGCCGGCGGCGGCGGCTGCGGCGGAGGGAGGATGACCTCTCCTCGGGAGCGGGGTGCCGACCTGGCCCGTTTCTACACGGTCACCGAGCCTCAGCGACACCCGAGGGGCTACACGGTGTATAAGGTCACCGCCCGGGTGAGTGCGGGTGTCAGGCGGGGGTGGTATCTTGAATTGGGAGGTGAGGGTCTGCGGTGGGGACCCTGGCGTGGGGGTGCCTGGCCCCAGTCGGAGCCGAGGGTGGGACTCGGGGCGCCTGGTGCCGGGCGTGTGTCAGAGGGGGGACTTGGGGAAGGCTGGGGAGCGCTGAGGGTGGGATGCTCGGGACTGCACCCGGGAAGGCTGCGGAGTCGTCCCCGTTCCCGGTGGGGCAGGGGTTGATGGTTTTCCATGGATGACTCAGCCCCCCATCCCATTTGAACTTTCTCTTCGGAGGCTGAAATTTGCAGAAGTGGGTTTGCTTGCTTCCGAGGGATGTGCAGGTTAAAGATAGAATTTATTGTCTTATCTTACTTATGTAATGGGCCTTTCTTCCCTCGGCCATTTATACAGCGTCATTGTTTGCCCTGAGGCAGAGGGACTCTCGAGGATGTCGGTGTTAGGGTCACAGCCCAGGACCTCTGCCGCCTGCCTTTTTGCCTTTGAGTCTTCCAGGGTTTACGGTGGGAGACAGAGGAGACATTCCAGGGAAGGTTACTTGGGCGAGCTGCCTTGAGAGCACATTTAAAGGCTGCGAGTCTCCTCTATGTTAACTTAACCGGGTTCAATTCGCAGTACCCGCTTTGGTACTAAAAATTGCTCTTGCTCCTTGAAAAGAGAGCTTGTGTCTCTCTCCTTGGGAAATAAAGAAGAGTACGATTAAGTAAGTCTGTGTGTAGGAATGTATGTGTGTCTGAGTATGCATATGTATCAGGCATTTTGTACGCGTCACCCAAGTTACTGCTCATTTTTACGAGGAGGAAACTGAGGTTGCCGGAGGTGGTGTAACTTGCCCAACTTTACGCTGCAAGTCAGCAGCGCATCTGGGATTTGAGGCCACTTCTGCCTAACTCCAAATGATACAAAAGGTTCAGAATTAGCTTTATCATTGCCATGAATTGCTTGAAAAAGGAGAGGTACAGATAGCAGTGATACCACAATACACGTTTGGAGGATGCAGTGATCATGTGTGACAGCTCAGGAACTAGGTCTTGAGAACAACTTGGCGTGTGCTTTATAGAAATGGTGCACAGTTGAGACAAATGTCAGAAGGTGGGATGAGCAAGTTTGTTTAAAGATAAGACCAGGCCTGGCCTAGAGGGCTGTGTTGAGAATAGAGGGAAATTTGCTACTCCCTGTTGTTTGCAAGTCAAGTTGTTATATAGGTGTAGTGTAAAAGTTTGTTTTTTTTAAGATTAAGGGCCCTTATTATACCATTCTTGAAACCATTGTAGGCCTTGGGACCTTCAAACATTGAGACTTAGTTTCCTAATATAATTTATGGAATTGGAACAATTTTCAACATAATGTAATGTTTCCCTCATGGCACCCCGTTCATCCCTTGTTATAACACCACAGTTATATTGTATTAATCTGTTATATGTCTGTGTCTCTAGTATATTCAGAATAGGTCTTTATCATTGGTATTTGTTTCCTTTTATAACAGCTAAGACAGTGCATGGCACACGGTGTCTAGAAAACATTGTTGAATGTTTTCCTCTCCATTCTAGGCAACACGCTCAGTAAGTGTTTAGTTCCAGGCACTACATGCTGCAAGGGATAGAGGCTGAATAAAACATGGGCCTTCTTTCAAGGATATTCATAGTAGAAGAGAGTTTACAGGTTTTGAAGAAGTATAGTACAAGACAGAAAGTGTTAAGTGCCACAAGAGAATAGAAAAGAGCTATGGGGTTTCAGAAGACAGAGATTGCTTCTGGCTCAAGGGATCTGGGAACATGTACCAATTAAGACCGGTGGTGAAAGATGAGAAGAATCCAGATAGGTGGTGACAAAAGGGGAGGGCGTCGTAGGTGGAAGGGTAGCTAGAAGGGAGAGAGCCAACAAGAGCTTGAAGGCATAAATGTGTTTGGAACTTGAATAGCAAACACTGTATATGATAATTGCTTGTATTCTTACTTTACAAAAGGAGAGGTTAACCCGATTCAGATCTTAAGTATCTTTTCTTAAGCTGTGAGCTATTTACTAGACTAACTTTTATGACAACATAAATTAGAACACAAAGTAGCACATTGCCTCAGGACTAACCAAATCTATATAATATGCATGCTACATATTGCTGTGGTTATTTGAACTTGAAAATTGCTTACACTGCTTTTCTTCTCTTTGTAAATGTTTATGTCCTCATTTGTTGCTTTGGTGACAGATTTTAATTTTAATGTTTGAGGGTCAACATGGAGATATACTTAAAAAGTAACTGTACTTAATATTATAAAACAAGTAAAATGTTGGTTAATTTTTTTTGAGACTTAAGGAGGAAAAAAAACATCTTTCCTCAGGAGAATTAACCAGGTAAGTAGTATTCTCCTGAGAGAACTTTATGAGATAAAAATTAGAAATGTCTTCTCTATGTTTCCTGCTACTGATTTACTTTAAGCTTTAAGGAATAATCTCTAAATTATTGATCCTTGCAGGGTTCTTTATGAAGGAGTAGATTTAGAATAATCAGAAGTATCATTATTAAATTTTGGGTAGCATAAAAGCTCTTGCATCTTCTTAAATCTCCCTTATACTTTTTTTTTTCTTTTTTAATATATTTTATTGATTTTCTACAGAGAGGAAGGGAGAGAGACAGAGAGTTAGAAACATCGATGAGAGAGAATCATTGATCAGCTGCCTCCTGCACATCTCCCACTGGGGATATGCCCGCAACCCAGGTACATGCCCTTGACCGGAATCGAACCTGGGACCTCTCAGTCCGCAGGCTGACGCTCTATCCACTGAGCCAAACCGGTTTCGGCTCCCTTATACTTTTAAAAAAAATAGTTTTCTGGAACCTTGTGGCCAGTTACAAGCTTGTTAACATATTTTCTAGTTAAACTCTGTGTTGCTTATTACTTTTTATCTAGAATAAGTACCTCTATTCAGAATTGGAAAATTCTTTTGTAGGTTTCTTTGATTCTTTAGTTGAAGGAGACAGAGATATAAAAAAACGATTAGCAGTTTTGGCTTGTTTCATCATGCTAAGTTTACAAAATTCTCATACTGTGATATAGATTTCTCATCAACATTAAGTTAATGGTAGTTCTTGCTTGTATTCTTTCCATGAGTATGGAAAGCAAAAGGTATGCCTTTATGTAAAAAAGACAGTGTTGCTTTATGACTTTATTTTGTTTGTATGACTTTATTTACTTTATATACAATAAAATTCACCAATTTTAAGTGTACAGTTTGATGAGTTTAGACAAATATATACATATTGGGTGTCCCCCAAAATATAGACACACATTTTGAATAATTATAAAGGCAGTGTGTATTAAAGTACATTTTATTTTCAAAATTGAGCTATCAGCCATAACAGTGTGTGTACATTTTTTGGGGACACCTGTAGTTGTGTAAGCACCACCACGGTCATCATGGCAGAAGCTCCCTGATGCTCCTTTGTGGTCAATTCCCTCTCTCCACTCCCTGTTTCTAGGCAAACTCTGGTCGCCTTTTTGTGATAGATTAGGTGTGTTTTCTAGAATTTTATATAATTGAAATTGTACAGTATGCACTTTTCTTTCTGGTCTGGCTTCTTTAACTTAGCATGATTATTTGAGATACAACTATGTTGTCTGTTTTTATTCTCTTTTATTGCTGACTGATATTCCATTGTATGGTTATATTACCATTAATCAGTTTACCTGTTGATGGACATTTGGGTTGTTTCCAGTTTTTGGTTATGAAGACAGCTATTATAAACATTTGTATACGAGTATTTGTATGGGCATGTGCTTTTATTTCTCTTGATAGCATATATACTTATAAACTGTAGCTTAATACTAAGTCCTTTTTTTAAAATATATTTTATTGATTTTTTTACAGAGTGGAAGGGAGAGAGATAGTTAGAAACTTCGATGAGAGAGAAACATCGATCAGCTGCCTCCTGCACATCTCCTACTGGGGATATGCCCGCAACCCAGGTACATGCCCTTGACCGGAATCGAACCTGGGACCTTTCAGTCCGCAGGCCGACGCTCTATCCACTGAGCCAAACCAGTTTCGGCAATACTAAGTCCTTTTTCAAAAAAAATCTTTCTTTTTGAAATTATTATATATGTCCCCCTTTCCCCCCATTAGCCCCCTCCAGCCTGCCCCCATCTCCCACCCCAGGCTTTCACCACCAAATTGTCCCTGTCCATGGGTTGTGTGTGTGTGTGTGTGTGTGTGTGTGTGTATATATATATATATATATATATATATATATATATATATATATATATATATATATATATATATATATATATTTAGTCTTTTGTTGATTACCTCTCACCCACCCACTCTCCCCTGCCTTCCTTCCTAAGCTTATATCCTTGTAAACTGTAGCTTAATACTATGTCTTTAAAAAAAATCTTTTATTTTTAAATTACAGTTAACATACAATATTATATTAGTTTCAGTTGTATAACCCAGTGATTAGACATTTATATAACTTAAAAAGTGATCACCCCGATAAATCTAGTACCCGTTTGCTTTTGACATTAACAGAGGCGGATGGATCACAAACATCACAGTAGCATTTTCCACTGTGTTCCAAATTTTAGTAGGTGTCACACTAAATACAAAAATAATAATAAATAAAAAACATATGATAAAAATAGAAAGTAGAGTAGATAGATGACCTTGGGAAATACTATATAGTTTCCTTTTGGAGATTTACAAGGCATCATAAAGTACTGTGTGTTTCTTTTTTAAACAAAGGTAAACTGAGTTCATCGTTAGTCTTTTGAGATCACTGATTTTAAAGAATACCAGTATTCCATGCAGTTTGGTTTGTGAAGCAGTGCTTTAGGGTAATAATTTTCAACATGACTTGGCAATAGAATTCTATCTATATCTATCTATCTATCTATCTATCTATCTATCTATCTATCTATCTATCATCTATCTATCGAGACTTCTCAAGTAAGTACTTAATGAGCCATTGGTAGTTAACGCTTGGAACAGAAATTTATGAACTTTAAATGAAAGATATCACTGCTTTAAATTCCAACTTTTATGGAATTTGTTGGCTGAATTTTGTGACAAAATATTGAAATTCACCTCAGGGAAAGATTACGAAGTAGTAACAGTCTATATCAGAGTGAATGTTGTATTTTTGTTTTAGAGTTGATATTACTTGTTGAGATCATTGCTAATATAGTATTAAAAGTTATAAATAGCTTGGTCTCAGGGTTCAACTTTGTTCATTTTCAGTATGGTCATATTCTTACTTCAGATTTCTGATTGGTTTTCTTATTTTTCATCAGTTTTGCTGAATAGAATTATATAATTAGAAAGAGTTGTTACTAATGGACATCTAGGCTCAGCCCATGTTATTCTAACCCCTTTGTTTTTGGTGTCCACGCCAGAGGACACATTCTTAACTGATTTAAATGAGATTACACCTGTGGGTCTACTGAACACCTCATAGTGGGTTGTCACTTGGTTGAACTTGGTAAGGTATCTGGCAAGTGATTATGTTTTTATAGTGTAGTGGCATAGGAATCAAGCCTGATGTATTCTCCATTATACTTCAGTACCTACCTGCAGAGTAGGCACTAATATTTGTTGAATAAGTGAAAGAATAAGTAAAATCTAATGGTTGACAGGGTTTTGTGGAGTACATAAACAATTACTGCTGTTTTTGTTTTGGGCTGCAGTAGTGTTGAGTTGATCCTAATCCCCAGTTCATGGTACTGTCAGTAGTTATCAAAAATGTTTTCTTCCTTTCATCTATAGGCAACCATTTTTATGTGTTTAATGTATCTTTTAGTTTTTGCAAAATGCGTATTGTAGCATCAAGTTCATGAATTTTACATTTACATAGATGTTATTATGTATTTAATGTGAGATTTTCCCACTCTACATTGCTTTTTAATGATTTAAGCACCCAGCCTTCTTTTCTAGTTTTGTGAGGAAATCTTTCTAAATGGTGTTAGACTTTTTGGCTTTTGTAATTAGAGAAATCTGAAAGAATCCTCCCTCCTCCTCTTTGCTCAGAGAATGAAGATAGCATTGCCCTTGAATGCTGATTATAATTTTTTATAAGTTACTTTTGTTTTCTTCACCATTAGGTGGTCAGTGATTACTTCTCATAGATATTGGTGTATCTGAGCATTGTGGCTGTATTTTTTTTTTTCATTGAAATTTTTATTGAGCTTAATTGTAGATTCACTTCCAGTTGTAAGAAATAATTCAGAGCAATCCCTGTATACTTTGTCCATTTGCAGCTGCTTTATATATTTTTAATTTATATGGAGTCTGAGAAGAGGATTAGACAAGTTTGGTAGAATAATGTCAAGTGAAAGTGAAGGCTGAGGCATTCTCGTGTAAATGTAATACATGAACTTTAGTATTTGGACTTTATTTCAGCTGCCTTTTTGCTGGATTTTTTAGTATGTGTTTCAGATAGTGAAGTTATATAGCTGAGTTCTGTGTAAGTGACATAATATGGTATTTCCTTCTTTTTTTTTAAATCCTTACCCGAGGACATTTTCTCCATTGAATTTTAGAGAGAGTGAAGGGTGAGGGAGAGACAGAGAGAAATACTGATGTGAGATGTGAGAGAGACACATTGGTTGCCTTCCGCATGCCCCTGACCAGGCCAGGAGCCTGCAACTGAGGTACGTGTCCTTGACTGGAATTGAACCCGAGACCCTTCAGTCTGCAGACCGACGCTCTATCCACTGAGCCAAACCGGCTAAGGCTATTTCCTTATGCTTTAAGTCAGTGGTTCTCAACCTCCCTAATGCTGCGACCCTTTAATACAGTTCCTCATGTTGTGGTGACCCCCAACCATAATATTATTTTCGTTGCTACTTCATAACTGTAATTTTGCTGCTGTTATGAATTGTAATGTAAATATCTGATATGCAGGATGTATTTTCATTGTTACAAATTGAACATAATTAAAGCATAGTGATTAATCACAAAAACAATATGTAATTATATATGTGTTTTCCGATGGTCTTAGGCGATGTGACCCCTGTGAAAGGGTCATTTGACCCTCAAATGGGTCGTGACCCACAGGTTGAGAACCGCTGCTTTAAGCAAATTGAAATTTTTATACAAATATTATTGAAAGTAATTATACAAATGTGAAATCTTAAATTTTGATAATGATGAGATGTTTCTGTGTATGTTTTGTTTCAGGTTATTTCACGAAGAAATCCAGAGGATGTCCAGGAGGTAACATGTTATATGAAAATTTTATTTTATATATTTGACAAAAAATTAACTAAATGCTCGATTGAACAAATTGAATTGTTTGTCAGTCTTTGTGTTGGTATGTTTGTGTAAAGATTGTCTTCAGCTCACAAAACAGTATCAGAAGTATCCTAGTTCAGACCTATTAAGTATATTTTAAGTTGTCATAGGTTTTAAGTTATATGACTAAGAATTTGAAGATTATTCAGATGTATTAAATATGTGTTAGATTTTAGTCGATGTTAAATTATAAAAATAAGATTTTTAGGAATTATAGTGCTATTTAATAATGTAATAATTTTTCTCATACTCATCAGATTTCAATATTAGTTAAGGGCTCCTATTTAACTATTTCTAAATTATGATGCCTGATTAATATAAACTTGAAAAGTATTTGGTAACTAGTATTCATTTTAAAGATTATAATATTAAGTTATGGGTTTCTGTGTACTTCCATTTTTATATTGAGTTGACATGTTGACATCTTGGAAAACTGCTTTGTGTGTAGATGTTTCTTTTTTAAATTTTGTAGATGCTAAGTTTCTTTTGTCAACTCTCCCTTTCTCTAAAATGATACCAGTTTGTTAAGGTTTTTGCTTAAAACTGTGGTTCTGTATTTATTATTATTTTGTACTTATATACCTTTAGGAATCCTATCTGAGGAGCTTACTTATTTTAACAGTTTTAAAATTTACTTTTATATTAGTGCTTGTTCATTTTCTTTAAAAAATTAATTTATTGTTTAGTTACAGTTGACATACAGTATTATATTAGTTCCAGGTGCACAACATAATGATTAGACATTTATATACCTTCCAAAGTGATCACCTTGATCTCATTTTCACTAAGATTAGAAGAACATAGCATGTTGGGGATTTTATTTCTTACTAAAGAAACAGACATTGTAAATGAGCAGTCTTAATTCTGCAACAGTATTTTTTTATTTTTTATTGAATTTTAATGTCTTTAGGTGGGGTATGTATTTTAGATTTAGCCATAAGCCCCACTACTTCTTACAGAAAAATCTTGCTTGATTCATACATTTAAGTGGATTGTTTGGTACTGCTTGGTTTGTGATGTGACATCAGATTTAGAATATATTTTGACTTTTATACATTACCATTTCTTATTATATCTAATATGGTATTTGTTTTTTCTCCTATGGTTAAAAATTAGTTCAATAAAGGACATATTTTTAAAAGATTCCTTACTATTTTCCTAGGGTTTTAAGATATCTAACTCCTCCCTACATCCTCTAGCCCCAATAGCCATGAAGAGACTATTGTAATGTTATTTTGGAAGAAAAGAAGATGTATCTATATATCTATCCTTCTAAAATGGCAGAGAAAGTGATTTGCACCATTGATTGAAGTACTCTCTCTACTTAAGTGTCAGCTGATTAGTATGAACTGTTCTTTAGGATTTAGAATTCTTTAGAGTGTTGAATTAGTAGTCAATGCCAGGGTTTTCTGCTTTTGAAATTTACAACTCTCTTAAACTGAAAGTGGGTTGTGTTTCTTTTGAAAATATTGTCTGATTGCTATGCTGTAGTTTGTAGCTTGATGTTCCCCTTTTCCAGGGAGAATCCTGAACCAACCTATCATGAACATACTCTCTGCCATTTCCTTAATCCTTTTTTTGGAAAAACTCTTTTATAATAACAACTGTTGGTGAACCATTCATCAGAAAACTCTTGTAAGTGTCCTTTAGTTAGATGATTGCATGGTCCTTTGTTAGAAATGCTATAAAAAAACCCAAAACAACCATGTCTTCTATTTGGCTTCTTAAAATATAGAATAACCTCAAAATTATAACAATATTTTTTAGTTTCCCATATGTTTCATTGAAACATTGGGATTCTCATTAAGGAGAGGAACTCACCCTTTATTTAGAATTTGTTTCCATTTCCTTTTCTTTTACTTTCTCTTTCTGTTAATTGATTCATTTAGTTATTGCTTTAGAATTTAGACTTTGCAGGAGTATTGAGGATTAGTCAATGTATACTTAATCTAACCAAATATAGGGCTAAAAATATGCTCTCCTTATAAAATGAGAAATTTTGCTGTTTGTTTTATACATACGTACATACATACATACCTACCTACCTACCTTAGCACGTGCAGTGTTTTCTTCCTAAGAATGCTTAAATACTAACATGGAATAAATAATTTTAAAATTATCAGCTTTTTTTTCTTATCTGTTAGACTTTTTCTCTAAATTTTTATTTATTAAGAGCAGCATGGATGAATTGGAGGGGGAGCAATAACAGTCAGTGTGGCCTCTTGTTCAGAAGAGTCTCTAGGGCATGAATACTTGTATCAAGTAAAGAGAGAGGTGGAAATATGCCCTCCCTCTCCCACCCTTTAAAGAGAGTAATCTATCTGGCTCTGTTTCTCTGTAGGTAGTACATTTTACTGGTGTCAGAAATGTGTCAAGGGAAAGAAAATTAGTAAGTAATAGTATGGTAGATGATTCAGCAGGTTCTAGTACTGTGGAAGAGTAAAAAGGAAAAGTTAATTGAATTGAGTGGTTTTGTAAAATACAAGAGATCTAAAGGTTTTTGGTATCATTAAATGAAGTTATCTTGCCCTAACCAGTTTGGCTTGGTGGATAGAGTGTCGGCCTGCGGTCTAAAGGGTCCTGGGTTCGATTCCCGTCAAGGGCATGTACCTTGGTTGCGGGCACAACCCCGGTAGGGAGTGTGCAGGAGGCAGCTGATCGATGTATCTCTCTGGATGTTTCTAACTCTTTATCCCTCTCCCTTCCTCTCTGTAAAAAACCAATAAAATATATTCTTAAAAAATGAAGTTATCTTAAAACTTTTTAATGTAAAAATAAGGGAATGTTTCTAATAATAATTAAGCTTTTATTAAATTTGTAGTCTATATATGATTGTCATTAAATTACTATTTAATTGAGGAATTTTACTCATAATTTTAATGAATAAGAAATTTCTGCAGAAATGGTTCAATACAGCAGTAGCTGTTAAACAGTGATTTTTATTTCATTTTATTTTTTCCATCACAATTTAACCCATCTATGTGCTCTCCCACCTCCACCCACTCCCCTTGATTTTTTTCTATAATAGGAAAAATTTGATTATTAGAGAAAATAATTTTTTGCATGTATCTGTTGCGACTATGTGTAGTCTAATTATAAACATTTATACTTGTTCATATAATGGGAGTGTGCTTCTGTTTACTTTTCCATTTTTAAGGTTTCTAGAAATGTCCAAACTTAAAAGGAGTCAGTAAATGGTGACATTTTGTGATGTTTTGGTTTCCTGCTTTCTTGAGGGTTTACATTTGTTCTTAGATCATTCAGTTCTAAAGTTGTAGTGTGAAAATAAGGAATATGGGAGTGAATAAATTAGGACATGGTGAAGAAACACAGATTCTCACCTTGTGGGGTGGTTCTTATTCTTGCTCTGACAATCTACTGGTTTGTATACCATGGTATTATTATCATTATTATGACTAAATTAACTTTTGCCCCTTAAGTTACACTGCCTTTATTTTACAGTGACCCTAAATAGAATATACATTTTATCTGCAGATTTGTTTCCATGAGCTCTATAGTCTATTGAATAGCTCTAATTTCTAGTTTATAATGGCTTTACATTTATCTTATGTAAGATTACTTTTACAAGCCAGTCACTCATTTTCTCCTTAAGCCCTTTGGCACTGTGGTACCACCATAATTTGCTCTATTTTAAAAATATGAAAGTAACATTGTTTTTTTCCCATGGCAGAATTATGTTCATGTATTAAAATTAAAAACTACAGAGAAGCACAGAATAGGAAAATTAAAATCACTTTAATTTTACCTATTCCAAGGACCTTTGCTTTTCAAGTATTGATCTGGCTCTCTCAATTCCTCTTGCTTTGTCTTTTACTGGAACTCTTGGTTCTTTGCCCTCAGCATTTGTCACATTCACTTCCATCTTAAAATAACATTTCTTCTTCTCTGTACCCTCTCTCACGGCATAGTCAAGCTTCTTAAACACTCTGCACTTGGTGTTCTTTTCCTTACTTCTCCTGGCCCCTGGGCGTTAAGGTTCCGCATCATTCTGTTGTTAGGTTCCTCATCTCATTACAGATGCTGAGCAACCTTTACTGCTTGACCCCAAATTAATTCATCTTGCTTAGTTCTTGCTCTCGAACCATAAACCCGTCCACCCTATGGGACATCTCCAATTAGATGTGTCACAAGTACCTAAATTAAATGTATCTAAAGTTGAACTTTGTTCTTATCGCCAAACAGCTTTTTCTCCCTTGGCTTTTCTTCTTAGGGAATAGCATCACCATTTATCCAGTTGCAAAGCTAAAATTGCAATAATTATATTTGGCACCGTTCTCCTTTTAAAAACTTCATCTACAACCCTTCTTTCTGTCTGTATTTTTGTTGGTTTAATCACTACTCCCCTTTAGGTCACTCACCGAAGGTAATACTTTCTGTGAAGCCTTCTTAGAGATCCAATGCTGGTGGAGGTGCTCCTTCCACATCGCCCTGGGCTGCCCCTTCTAGGGTTGATCGCGCTGCTGTCTTGTGATGTGCTTACTGTGTTGGCTTATCTTCCTCACTAGACTGGAACTCTTTGAGGGCAGGGTTTTTTTCTCATTTCTTCATTCTTTGTGCCAACACAGTACCTAGCACAAAGTAGGGCCATGAAATACTTGTTTTGATGACCACTTTTGTTGTTGAGTAAATGAATAAAAGCAAGCATCAGGAGGGAGCAGTTTACTTAAGTTACTTCATGCAACAGTTTGATTAGTCCCCTAGATTATGTCTGTGTTAGAAACAAGAAACTTATTAATCATGATAGAATTTTTGGTAGTTTGACAAAGTTTAGTGAAGGATTTCACACATACATAGAGTAAATTTTTAATATTGACTTTGTTAGAATTGAGGTAGTAGTTTTTTTTTTTTTTTTTTTTTTTTTTAGCAAAGGCCCCAATATATTAGGTGATGGAATTTAAAATGTAGTTTACTCATTTTGTGGAGACTGAGGGGGTGAATCAGTGATATCAAGGCCATGTTCAAGTTCTTTTCCTTTATAAAGTTTTTTTCCTAATTTAATCTGAACGAGGTTAAACAATAATTAGAAATAATGAAGGTATGTTTATTTTTTATATGCTGTATAATCTAAATGAATGTTATTTTTGAAATATACTACTTTTAATGGTATTCTGATCAAGATTCACCTTGCTTTCAGAAATTTATTACTACTTTAAATTGAGATTTATGAAATAAAAAGTTCATGTTAATTACTTGCTACATAGTTATTTTTCCCTCAGTGTTATTCACTTTGTTTATCCTTTTAGGCAAATGCTGAGTATGTACTTCGTGCTTAAAAATTGTCTAAATTAATTACTTTGTGTTTATAAATATGCTGTTTTTGAGACAGAATATATATTTTGACATCTAGCTCATTTCCATGGCCAGTAGTAATTGGATTTTGAAGAGGTTAAATGAGATTTTAGGTAGGATAGACCTTTGTACCAAGTTGAATGTTTTTCCAGTTTGAACAAGACAGTACTTATTTAAATGCAACTTTCATTTAAAAATGTAGTAAAACTTGATTGCTAACTATAATTAATGTTTTGACACAAAATGACATTTCCCCCTAGTGTTTTGCTTGGTCATACCATTATTTGCTTATTTTTTTCCATAGGTAGAAAAATGACTAAGCTTTAGACATAAGATGTTGCAAACTGTACAAAAGAATAAAGTGTTCTCATTATGGTTAAAAAAAATAAAATAATGAAATTTAAAAGTTGGGACATTTGGAGGGAAAATTGCTGTTCTATATTTTTAAAGCAAATGCTAGTTAATTTTAGACAGGTAACCATATTGGTTAGAACATACACTTGTTTGTCTTGGTATGACAATTTTGAACACTAAAGAAACAATTATGTTCAGATATCTGAGCCGAGATACACATTTTTTTTCTCTCTTTAGATAATCGTGTGGAAGAGATACAGTGACTTTAAGAAACTACACAAGGAACTATGGCAAATTCATAAAAACTTATTTCGACATTCAGAATTGTTTCCTCCATTTGCTAAAGGAAAAGTGTTTGGTAAGTGATTATTTTGAATTTGTGGTTTTAAAACATGATGATTAGCTAATTATGCACATATGCTGAAATACTGTGCCATGAAGGTAGAGGACCCTTTATTTATTACAATAATTCATACCATGTAGCAAGCATCAGGCACCTGAAGTTGTTTTCATGTTCTTGATATAGTTTTGTTAACTCAGAACACATTTACTCCTCTCTTCTATGAAACAGCAGCACAGCAACTCCAACCAATCAAATAAAAAGTGTGTGAGAACATAAGAAAAGATGATGTTGAATTATTATTATAGTTCTGATTTATTTTTGATTTTTTAAGGTCTATACTTTGCATATTTCTTGCAAATGTTGACCCATTTATCATATAATATCAAAATGTTGTTAATATCATAGATCTCTAAAGGAAATTAAAAAAACAACCAACCTATATTTAGACTTGGATAGCAAGTCTCAGTAGTTACAGTTTGCTTTTTCCCCCCACAGATTTTTAAAAAGAAATGGTCTTAAGGGTTGAGATTTAATAAATAAAGTTAGTAAATTTTCTGCGTTATCAAGTATATTCTTAAGTGAAACTGGCATTTAAAGAAATTTTAATACGAGTAAGTGGCAGTAAGGAATATGATCATTAGCAGTAAGTGTAGTTTGGTGCCATTGTCTTGATTCCTGCTAAGAGGCCAGCAGTTTTACTGCCATTGGTTTTAGATATCAGTGCAAATGTCAGTGTGGTGAAAAATGCAACCACATTATGAAAATTGCTTTGACCTTGTTGATCTCTTGTAAGGCCCTTAGGGAACCCTCAGCAGTCCGTGGACCATGTTTTAAGAACACTTACACGCACACACAAATTTGTGCACACACACGTATGTACATGTTCATGGGTGTTCCTTGCAGCATTTTCAATAGAATACTGAAAATAAACTGTATTTGTACAATATGTGATTGTATGAATGTGCCATAATTTAGTCAATGCATAGAATTCTTCAGCTAAAATTTTAGATATATTGGTATGGAAATATAGCCGAGGTATATTTTTAAGATATAGGAAACAAATATTGCCCAGCAATGTGTTTAGTAAGATCCCATCTATATTTAAATAGACATACATGCCGAAACCGGTTTGGCTCAGTGGATAGAGCGTCGGCCTGTGGACTGAAAGGTCCCAGGTTCGATTCCGGTCAAGGGCATGTACCTGGGCTGCGGGCACATCCCCAGTAGGAGATGTGCAGGAGGCAGCTGATCGATGTTTCTCTCTCATCGATGTTTCTAACTCTCTATCTCTCTCCCTTCCTCTCTGTAAAAAATCAATAAAATATATTTAAAAAAAAAAATAAATAAATAGACATACATATTTGTGTGAAGACGTACCTACACACATTTGTATAATGTGCAAAACCTCCGAGGTCATGGGAGGAGACCTATTTTTACTTTTTACCTTAAACCTTCTGAACTGTAGAATTTAACTGTGCACACATATCTTTAAATTCAATGTTGGAAGATACACAACCTGGCTTTTAAAACAATAAGCTTGTCTCTTGGTGAAAGGGAGTGGCTTCCGAATTGCTTCTTAGCTATTATTGTTTGCTGCTAAAGGATTATCTTCAACTTTTCTCCTCATTCTTACATATTATAGAGTGAAAGTTTCTTATTAATCTTAATAAGTAAGCAATTTATCACTCTCAGTGAATGGTACAGTCCATTTGTAATACTTGATAACTGCAATGAACCCTGTAGGCAGCAGCTGTGGTTGTGTGGAGGGAATTGTTGGTTAATCATCTGTCTTTTTAGTTACTCTCACAGTTTTAGTATATAAGCCTCAGCAACAAAATACAGACCTATTGTAATTTGCAGAACCATCAGATATGTAATGTTCTAATATTATAGTGAAAAGAACATACCTTTTGGAATCAGATAGATTTAGGCCCAAACCTCTATCCACTATTTACTAGTGGTATGATCTTAATACAAATTAACATCTGAGTCTTTTTTCTTATTGGTAAGATAGGAATAATACCTTCCTGTTTTGAGGATTATATCTGTATGTGTCTAGTTCAATGCTCAATACATTATCAGCTATTGTTAGCTCTTATCTGTTGCTCAGCTTACCATTTCCCTAACATACATACTCTCTTGTATCTCTTTCTTTAGTGTTGCACTGTTCCACTGTGAAATTTTTTTTTTTTTTTAAATATATTTTATTGATTTCTTACAGAGAGGAAGGGGGAGGGATAGAGAGTCAGAAACATCGATGAGAGAGAAGCATTGATCAGCTGCCTCCTGAACACCCCCCACTGGGGATGTGCCCGCAGCCAAGGTACATGCCCTTGACCGGAATCGAACCCACGACCCTTGAGTCCGCAGGCCGACGTTCCATCCACTGAGCCAAACCGGCCAGGGCCACTGTGAAATTTTTCGCTAACCTTTCATACTTTTAGATGTCTCCTCTTCTAGTAAGTTTTCTGTGTTTCCATCAGACTGAGTTAGTTGTTTTCCCTTCCAATTCTCCATTTCATCAATGTAGCAACTAATTTTCCTCCATTTTTTTTTAATTTGCAAAATTTTCCAACTTACAGAAAAAAGACTGAAAGAATTCAGGTCTAACTCTAAAGCAATTTCTTTTAGTTACCATTGTGGTTGACCGTTAGACTGACATGAGCAGAACAAAGACGTTGGCCAGATTACAGAAGGTCACTAGGGCAGAAAGGCCACGGTATGTAGTAATGGGTGAAACTGGAAAAACAAGGACCTCGCCCCCAGGGTAAATTTTCTTCTAGCATATCACTGGTCATGTGGTTTAGACCCCCTGACCTTTCATGTAGCTGGTCAGGAAGTTCTGACTCTCTCCTAACCTTTCCTGACATATTGCTAGTCATGTAGCAGACCCCCTGGGAGGAGGAACCGGGGCTCAAGAGTGGCCTCATGTGACTCCCATGCGGGCCCTTGCACTACTACTCCCTTAAGCATTAACCCCTAGGGATAACATATCGGCCTCAGTTGTGGTTTAGCTCCAGGCCCAGAAAAGCAGCAGAACCAGACTGGCGATGCCATGGCTGATATCAGGACCAGCTGTAATGACCCCCTGCTCTGATGCTGACGAATCATTAGAGGCCATGACCCTGTAAGGACACACCTAGAAAGCTGATGAATATTCTATTGGAATCCTCCCCTGAGCCCTCCAGATAAATACCCTCAAGACCAGGACCCAGTGTGGCTCTCTCTCCTGGGAGCATGCCTACAGCCCTCTCCCCACCCACCTCCCTGCAGGCGATCCTATGCAACAAGGGCCTTTCTTTTGCCTCTGTAACTTATTTTCTGAGCCCATTTCTTCTTTCTTTTACCTCTGTGACTTTCTAAATAAACTTTCTTTTAAATCTTGAGTCTTAGTAATGAATTAATTCTTAGCTAAAACTCAAGTATCTAGTACCTAAGTTGCTGAAGCAAGATCTGGTCTGACTCCACTGGTCTAACACCTGGTGCCATTATCGCTGCTAACATTATGAAGTAGATAGTTCACCGTAAGCATGAGATACATTGAGCTTAGATAGCACATCCTATATAATAAAACCCTAATATGTAAATCAACCGAACGGCAGAATGTCCGGTCGCTATGACACGTACTGATCACCAGGGGGCAGACACTCAATGCAAGAGTGTCAGCCAGAAGCTGGGCTCACAGCTAGCGAGTGCAGCAGTATGTTGTGCACCAGGCCTCTAGTATATTATAATTGGAATGATACAGAGGCGATTAGAATGGCCCCTGCATAAGGGTGACACGCAAATTCGTGATGTGTTCCATATTTTTGTAAATATATGGTGATGGAAGGAGATTTGACTTTGAGTGGTGGGCACACAATGCAATATACAGATGATATATCAGAATTATACACTTGAAACCTATATACTTTTATTAACCAATGCTACCCCAATAAATCTAATTAAAAAATATACAGTAATACCATTTCTTTTAGTTACCATGAAGTAGACACTTCACCATAAGCATGAGACACATTGAGCTGAGGTATTCAGTGGTTCGATTTCAAATTGTTGCATTGGGCAGTATAACTAGGAATCTCTTTGTGCCTCAGTTTCAGTTAACATTTTGCAAAGCTACTGGAAATGTTTAAGTAGGTGATGATGTTGCTCTTAATAATCGTATTTTTTTAAACCTGTATTGCCATCAGTATGATACATGGTATCAAACTGGTAGTCTGGTCTGAGAGTGGTTAAAATGGTCATGTTTGAAATACCTCATTAGCATTCACACTGTATATATAATTAAAATTCTATAAATACAACCTTTCTATCACCTTGTAAAACAGATCACTGGTGCTGTGTGTTCTCCTTTTTCTCACAAGCATGTTGTCATGGTGTCTGACAGCCTCACACATGGAATTTGGCTGAAAAAGCTTTTTTCTTCAAACTGAAGTTTTTGACCCTATTGATATACAGATGTTCTCATATTTTCCTCTCCTCAATTCCTTTGTAAATCGAAAGTAGGAAAGGGAAAATTATTTATGTAATTACATTAATAATTAATAATCAATGTGTATTAAATTACTATAGAAAACCTTTACAATTCTCTTTTCAACTTTAGTTTCAAATCGCCAGCTTTTTAAATGGTAAGTTGCTTATATTGACAGACCTTAGATGATGATGGCACCATTTATTTTTGAGTTGACATCTCTGCCTCTTTTTTTTGCCAGAAACATTATTTTTTGTTAGAAACATTATTTTTCTGGTGTGACTGCTGCTGATCCCAGTTGGGGAGACTAGATTTGACTTCTGAAGGTTGCATAATCAGCACAGCAAATAGTCAGTGATAGGTCTGCTGCTGCTTTCTGCTCTGTGAACATCAGTTGTCATAAACCGGTGTTTGATCCTTCTTTATTTGTGCTGATTCTTATTTAATTGTAGGACGATTTGATGAAACTGTTATTGAAGAGAGAAGACAGTGTGCCGAAGACTTGCTACAGTTCTCTGCCAATATTCCTGCTCTTTATAACAGTAAACAGCTTGAAGATTTTTTCAAGGTCTTTCTAAAATACTTTGTATTTTATTAAATACCTACGTTTTCTAGTGTTAATTTTTACTTTATTTGGGGGCTCTGTTGGCATATACATGTATGTTTATAATGGGTATGTTTTCCTGATGAATTGCTCAGTCTTATGCATTATCTCTCTCTGTCTCTGGTAGTACTTACTAAAGCCTTACTTTGTATGATTTTAATATAGCCACTCTAGGTTTCCTATAGTCACTGTTTGCATACCTTTTTATTTTTATTTTTTTTGCTTTCTATGTATTTGTGTTCTTAAATAAGGATATCTCTTATATGCAATGTATAGTTTGATCTTATTTTTTTTCTTTGTTTTTTTTTAATATATATTTTATTGAGTTTTTACAGAGAGGAAGGGAGAGAGATAGAGTTAGAAACATCGATGAGAGAGAAACATCGATCAGCTGCCTCCTGCACATCTCCTACTGGGGATGTGCCCGCAACCCAGGTACATGCCCTTGACCGGAATCGAACCTGGGACCTTTCAGTCCGCAGGCCGACGCTCTATCCACTGAGCCAAACCGGTTTCGGCTGATCTTATTTTTTATCCAGTCAGGAAATGACTGTTGTTGATTGGGGGAGTATTTAGTCCTTTTTTTGTTTTGTTTTGTTTTTGTTAATCCTCACCCAAGGATCTTTTTCTATTGATTTTTAGAGAGAGTGTTAGAGAGGGGGAGAGACAGAGAGAGAAAACATCGATGTGAGAGATACACATTGTTTGGTTGCCTCCCTCATATGCCCAGACTGGGGCCTGGGATCAAGCCTGCAACTGAGGTACCTGTCCTTGATGGGATTCAAACCCAGGACTCTTTAATCCTTGGGCTGACACTCAATCCAGAGTCAAACAGGCGAGGGCTAGTCCTTTTATACTTAAAGTAATTGTTGATTTGATTGCATTTGTCTGCCATTTTGCTGTTAGTTATGTCTCATATATTTTTGTTTTTCCTTTATGCCACCCTTGTAGATATTGATTACTGTACCATTTAAATTCCTTTTTTATCAATTTTTTGCTAAGTTAAATTCTTATTGGTTGCTTTAGGAATTAAAACATGCATTTTAATTTATGACAATTTACTTGAGATTAATACTCACTTAATTCCAGTAACATATAGAAAGTTTGCTTCATAAAGTGTTATTTACTCCCCTCCATTGCATTATTATAATACTAGAGGCCTGGTGCACAAAAATTTGTGCACTCAGGGGGGAGGGGAGGGGTCCCTCAGCCAGGCCTGTGCCCTCTCACAGTCTGGGACCCCTCAGGGGATGACCACCAGCTGGCTTAGGCCTGCTCCCCGGGGATTGGGCCTAAGATGGCAATCAGACATCCCTCTGGCAGCCCGGCAGCCTTCAGGGGATGTCCACTTGCCAGCGGGGAGCAGGCCTAAACTGCAGTCGGACATCCTTAGCGCTGCTGAGGAGGCAGGAGAGGCTCCCACCACCACCTATGTACCGGCAGCCATCAGCCTGGCTTGTGGCTGAGCAGAGCTCCTCCCATGTGAGTGCACCCTCACCACCAGAGGGCAGCTCCTGCATTGAGCGTCTGCCCCCTGGTGGTCAGTGTGTGTCATAGTGACCAGTCATTCCCAGTCTTTCTGCTGTTAGGGTCAGTTTGCATATTACCCTTTTACTATATAGGATAGAGGCCTGGTGCATGGTTGGGGGCCGGCTGGTTTGCCCTGAAGGGTGTCCCGGATCAGGGTGGGGGTCCCGCTTGGGTGCCTGGCCAGCCTGGATGAGGGGATGATGGTTGCTTGCAGCTGGTCACACCCCCTTCAGGGTGGGGGTCCCCACTGGTGTGCCTGGCCAGTCTGGGTGAGGGGCTGAGGGCTGTTTTCAGGCTGGCAGGCAACTGAAGCTCCCAGCCTCTCCTTTTTTTCTGTTTTTGTTTTTTTTATTCTGGGATTTATTTACCTTCTATAGCTGTCACTGGAGCTGAGAGCCGGCTCCAGCTCTGAGGCCTGGCTCCAGCTCTGAGGCTGTGGCTGGTTGAAAGCAGGTATCTGTGTTTGTTTAGCTTCTGTAATTGAAACATTGTTGCCATCACTGCCGCTCTAAGCTCTGAGGCCGAAGCTGGCTGAAAGCAGGTATCTGGAGCTTGTTTAGCTTCTATAATTGCAATATTGTTTCTTAGAGTGCAGCCCAGAGGCTGCAACAGCAGGCGGGAAACGTTGGCTTCCTCCATCACTGGAGCAAGCAAGCCTCCTGTTCGCTTCAGCTGCCTGGCTGCTGGCCACCATCTTGATTGGCAGTTAATTTGCATATCGCCCCGATTAGCCAATGGGAAGGGTAGCGAAGTTACAGTTAATTAACATGTTTGTCTAATATTAGATAGGATGTGTACCTTAAATATAATATAAATCCAACAATGTAGTATTATGATCTGATGTCTTTTAAGGAGTTAGGAGAAGAAAAAAGAACATATTTATATAGCCTTTTTTATACTTTAAAAACAGTGTATTAAAAACATTAGTGAATATAAAATATATAACATAAACAATGTATGTAAACTTAAAATGTGTGTACATAAAACAATAACATTTTCAAGAGCACATTCTGCCTTAGCCATCTTTGCTCAGTGGATAGAGCGTCGGCCTGCGGACTGAAGGGTCCTAGGTTCGATTCCGGCCAAGGGCACATGCCTGGGTTGTGGGCTCAATCCCGAGTGGGGGTGTGCAGGAGGCAGCCGATCAATGATTCTCTCCCATCATTGATGTTTCTATCTCTCTCCTTCTCCTTTCCTCTCTGAAACCAATAAAGAAGTATATATTAAAAAAAAAAAAAGAAAAAAAAAAAGAGCACATTCCTAAAAGGAAACAAAATAATAAACAAGAGGGGGCCTTCCATGGACCTATACATAGTCTTTTATATTTATCCTCATACATATCTTTTTTGTGTGTGTGTTCTTTATTTGTTCAGGTAGATTTGAATTACCAGCAGTTGTCATTTTCTTTCAGGTTGGGATTTCCTGTTGTTTCTTTTTGGTGTAAGCCTGGTTTGCTGGCAAAGATTCTCTCAGTCTTTGTCTGGAAATGTTTTTGTTTACACTTCACTTTCAAAGGATAGTTTTGCTAGATATGTGGAATTACTGATTGACACTGTTTCTTTTAGTACTTTGAATTTGTCACTCCACTGACTTTTGTGCTTCATTGTCTTTTTGAGAATCAGCCGTTAATTGTACTATAGTTCCACTGAGTAAGTCTTTTTCTATTGCTTCTTTCAGAAGTTAGCCTTGTCTTTCAACAGTGTACGTATAGGTATTGATCTCTTTCTGTTTATCCTATTTAGGGGTCTAATTTATCTTGTATTTGTAGATTAAATTTTTTTGGTTCAATTTTGGATGTTTTCTGTCCTCATCTCTTCAGGTATTTCTTTTTCAGCCCCTTTCTCTCTCTTACATTGGATAACCCTGTTACATGTAAGTTGGTATGCCATTATGTGTAAGTTGGTATGCTTGATATCATTTCACATTTCTCTCTGGTTCTCTTTATTATTTGGTCTTTTTTTCTTATAATCTTCATACTGGATAGTTTCTGTTGATCTTCACATTCATTGGTTGTTCTTTCTCAACTCTGTTGTTGAACTCCTCTAGTAAATTTAAAATTTTTGTTACAATACCTTTCAAATGCAGCATTTCTATCTGGTTCTTTTTTTTTTTTTTAATTGAGATTAAATGACATAACATAAAACTCACTATTTTAAAGTGGTGTATGATTCAGTGGTTTTTAGTATATTCACAAGGTTACACAACCATTATCGCTACCTGATTCCAGAACATTTTCATTACCCTCATACCCATGAGCACTTACTTCTTCCCCACCATGCCCCAACCCCTAGCAACCACTGATCTACTTTCCATCTTTATGGATTTGCCTATTTCTGGACATTTCACATGAATGGAATCATACAACATATAGCTGTTTTCATCTGGCTTCTTTCTCAGAGTTCAATATTTTCAAGGTTCATCCATGTTGTAGCATGTATCAGTACTTCATTTCTTTCCATTAAGTGGATTTTGTTTATCCACTCATTAGTTGATGTACATTTGGATTATCTCCACTTTTGGCTCTATGATAATGCTTCACTATTTTTTGTTTTTTAAAAAAATAATTTCTACTTATTTATATTTGCTATTTCATGAGTCATAGTCATTAGACTTTCCTTTAATTCTTTTTAAATGAATTCTTTTAAAAAAATATATTTTTATTGATTTCAGAGAGGAAGGGAGAGAGATAGAAACATCAATGATGAGAGAGAATCATCGATCGCATGCCCCCTACCAGGGATTGAACCCACAACCCAGGCATGTGCCCCTGATCAGAATCAAACCCGAGATCCTTCTGTTTGCAGGCCGATGCTCTATCCACTGAGCCAAACCAGCTAGGGCTCCTTTAATTTTTTTAATTGTTATTTCCTTCAGTTATTTGAACATATTTATAAGCTTGTATTGACTGTTTCCTCCCCACCTCTCCCCTTATGGAGCACACACTTTTCCTGTTTCTTTGTATGTCTTATTATTTTTTGTTCAAAGCTGGAAATTTTGGTTAATATATATTACAGCAACTCTGAATTCTGGTTTTTTCCTCCCTGAGGGTTGTTGCCATTATTTTATTAGTATGTTTATTAACATGGCTGTACTAAATCTGTGGAGTTTATTTGTTTAATGCATAGTATGTGACTGCTGATACTTATGGTCAGTTTTTAATTTTAATTGTATTTTAAAATCTGGTTTAGTAGGACTTAGCTCTGTATCGTCTTAGTTTATTGGACAGCCAGTGTTTGGTCTTGGCTTATACTTAAACACTTTGTTTCTTATATGCTTCTCTTTATGCTGATGATTCTTTGTGTGTTTTCAAAGTTCAAGCAGTTTTTAAGTTTGCCCTGGGTCTTACTTTCCTTTGAGATGTCTTACATTTCCTCTATCCAGTGGTCGGCAAACTGTGGCTCGCGAGCCATGTGCGGCTCTTTGGCCCCTTCAGTGTGGCTCTTCCACAAAATACCGGCTCTTCCACAAAATACCAACTTCTGTGCATGGGCCACAAAGTTTCAATCGCACTGTACATGCGTGCCTGCACGTGGTATTTTGTGGAAGAGCCACACTGAAGGAGCCAAAGAGCCGCATGTGGCTCGTGAGCCGCGGTTTGCTGACCACGGCTCTATGCATATGCACCATCTCATGGTTTGCCAGGGATTTGTAGATAGTTTGATCCCTCTCTGGTCTCTCCTGTATGGATGGGTAGAGTGCTTATTAAGAATCCCTATGGTTGTGTCATTTTCTGGATTTCCCTGGTAAATGTCTGGCTAATGTTCTGGTCTTTTGCTTGCTGCAGCTTATGCTTGCTGAGCCATTCACTTATTTCTTGCCATTTGTTTGGCACTAAGATTGCTACTATTACTGATAATGCTATTTGGGGTAGATTTTTTTTCCTGTGATTCAATCAAAATCATGGCAACCTCATCTACAAGTGAATCTGCTGGTTTTCAAGGTTCTTGTATAATTACCTTGGCCACCCAGCTGGGATGGAAGATGGGAGCAACCCCAGGCAAGAATAGACTTATTAAGAGTTCTTACCTGGGGTTTTGTTGTTTTCCATGAGTAACCACATCTTCATTTGCTTTATGTTTTTGGTCAAGTTCCGGAATCTCAAATGGTTATTTAGACAGTTTTCTCTAGTTATATTATTGTCTTTTGTGATGAGCATTTGCTCATATACTTATTTTACCGTATCTAAACTCCTTCCCCTTCAGACTGACTTTCATTAATAAAAACTTTGAGAAACTATATAATAAGAGTTTCTTTTTTTTTTTTTAAATATATTTTATTGATTTTTCACGGAGAGGAAGGGAGAGAGATAGAGAGTCAGAAACATCGATCAGCCGCCTCCTGCACATCTCCCAGTGGGGATGTGCCGGCAACCCAGGTACATGCCCTTGACCGGAATCGAACCTGGGACCTTTCAGTCCCCAGGCCGACGCTCTATCCACTGAGCCAAACCGGTTTCGGCAAGAGTTTCTTTTTACTGCATAATCAGGAATACTAAGAGGTTAATGTTTGAACTAGAGATTTAAAATAGAATTGTGGCATATTATTCTACTACTTCCCTTTAGTGCCTATAGAACAGATTTATTTATTTATTTATTTATTTATTTATTTATTTATTTCCTCACCTGAGGATTTGTTCATTGATCTTGGAGAGGAATGGGAGGAGGGAGGGTGGAAGGAAGGAAGAGAGAGAGAGAGAGAGAGAGAGAGAGAGAGAGAGAGAGAGAGAGGGAGGAAGTGAGAGAGGGGAAGAAGAAAGAAACATTGATTGGTTGCCTACTGTAGTCATCCTGACCAGTGATGGTCCTGACCAGGGATCAAACCTGCAGCCTGAGTATGTGCCCTGTCCGGAAATTGAACCCGCAGCCTTTTAATGTACAAGACGACACTCCAATACATGGAGCCATCCGGCCATGGCTGGCAGGGAACTTTTGATTAAGTAAAGATAGTTGTGAGCCGGAACCGGTTTGGCTCAGTGGATAGAGCGTCGGCCTGCGGACTGAAAGGTCCTAGGTTCGATTCCGGTCAAGGGCATGTACCTGGGTTGCGGGCACATCCCCAGTAGGAGATGTGCAGGAGACAGCTGATCGATGTTTCTCGCTCATCGATGTTTCTAACTCTCTATCTCTCTCCCTTCCTCTCTGTAAAAAATCAATAAAATATATTTTAAAAAAAAAAAAGATAGTTGTGAAATCTTTGTGCTGACATAGACAGGAAATCGGGGTTTTATATTCCTCTTGGGTTTGGCTATCTGGGAAGTAGTGTTTGGGAGGCATAGAACTGCTGGTGGAAGGTAGACAAAAGATGTTAAGGAGCAGAAGAGCTATTATTTTAATTAGTTATACTTATTCAAAGATTATAAGCCCATATATTCCTGATTGTAGCAGTGTATAAAGCCATGGCACAGACTCACACCACTATCACTTGCCTGATATTAGCATTCTCTAGTAACATGTAAGTAAGAGAAAGTAGTCTTTTAGGCTTAAATTTGCAAACTTAAATATAGAATTAAAATGATGGTCACATTGAGAAATCAATTTTATATTAAAATTGTGTTTTTTAATAAAAATATTTTAAACTTATTTAGTTTTACTTTATTGTATTTAAGTGGTTTTCAAGTTTAAGTCACTTCTGGAATTTCCTGAAGTGCTGTGTGATATATTGTAGTTTTTAATTTGAAAAATTACATGACTTTCTAATGGAGTTCATCATTTATCACTATTGGAATGACCAGTCACTAAGGATTCTGAACAATATTCTTTAGCTGGTGTGTGTTTTCTTTTTCTGTATTTTTAAATGAGTAAGTTTGAGAGATTTTTTAAAAATTTGCTTTTATAGCCCTGACCGGTTTGGCTCAGTGGATAGAGCATCAGCCTGCGTACTGAAGGGTCCCAGGTTGGATTCCAGTCAAGGGCACGTACCTTGGTTGCGGGCACATCCCCAGTAGGGGGTGTGCAGGAGGCAGCTGATTGATGTTTCTAACTCTCCATCCCTCTCCCTTGCTCTCTGTACAAAATAAAAAAAAAAAAAATTTTTTTAAATTTGCTTTTATAAAAAGCCATGTATTATTATAAACATTATAGTATTCCTATTGAATTTTTAAATAATTGACCATTTTTTAGAGCAGTTTATGTTTACAGAAAAATTGTGCAGAAAGTATTAGAGTTTTTCCATGTATTCCCCTACTCCCTCATAGAGTTTATTATTACCATACTGCATTGGTGTGGCACATTTGTTAACGTTGATGAACCAATATTGATATATCTGTTGATTTTTTTAAAGCAATTGTAATCTGCCCTAACCGGTTGGCTCGGTGGATGGAGCGTTGGCCTGCGGACTGAAGGGTCCCAGGTTCAATTCCGGTCAAGGGCATGTACCTTGGTTGTGGGCACATCCCCGGTGGGGGTTGTGCAGGAGATAGCTGATCGATGTTTCTCGCTCATCGATGTTCTACCTCTCTATCCCTCTCCCTTGCTCTCTGTAAAAAAATCAATAAAAAAATCAATAAAAAAATAAAAAGAACATTTTTTTAAAAAAAGCAATTGTAATCTCATTTAATAGATAGTTTTTGTAATCCTTATACAATACTTAGTTGAGAAGTCTATAGTTCATTTATTACTGATTTTTTAAAATACTGTTATTATGAATGACACACAATTACTCTGATCTTTTTAGGGTGGAATAATTAATGATGGTTCTGAATTGATTGGTCCTGTTGAAGCTTATTCGGATTCCCTCACTGATAGCTTTCCTGAGTGTAGTACGGAAGGTAAGAGATTTTATTTTTTTTCATTTCAGTGGTTTTTATTGTAGAAGATTAAATCATATTTATATTGCAAAAAAAATGGATATAGGAATTTGGGAATACTTCATTCTAATGATTTTTTTCACATTTTAATATCATTGATATTGAGTGCATGATACTGGGTTGATGATATCTTGCATTTAATTGACAGCTTTTTTCTTTCTTATTAATATATAAACGAAAGGCCCGGTGCATGGAAATTCATGCACTGGCTGGGGTGGGTCCCTCAGCGCGGCCTGCCCCCTCTCACAGTCTGGGAGCCCTCAGGGGTAGGAGACGACCCAGCGATCAGGGAAAGGCAGTGCCCCATCACACCTCTGCTGCCACCACTGCCGGCAGCGCAAGCCTCGGCCGGCCATGGTTACCTGAGCCTCAGGCGGCCCTGGGTGTCTCGGGCCAGCCCTGGGTGACTGGGCAGCTACCATCCGAGGCTTGCCTGTGCCTCGGACTGGCCCTGGGCAGCTGGGGGGCTGAGGGGACTGGGGGACTCCAGAGGCAGGTTGTGCGCCTGCTGCCCCGGTGGGGCTGAGGGGACTGGATGACGTCATCTTGTGGCTGTGGGTGCCACCATCTTTGAGGGCGGGGCAGTCAATTAGCATATTCCCTCCTTATTGGCTGTGGGCGCTGCCATCTTTGCAATGGTGTGAGAGTCAAGTAGCATATTCCCTCTTTATTAGGTAGGATGATTCCTCCTACAATTAATGCCATCTTAGATATGATTAAATGTGGTATAATGAGTGTTCAGAATTTGTATTTTCTACAGTAAGAATGCCTTGGTTAAATTTATTTAGTAGCAACTGATCTTTAGACAATTAATTTTTGAAGACTGCCTTTAAAGTTTAGTCATGTCCCCAGAAAAAAAATTTAAAGCAGTTTTAATGTTTTTAATATGTTTTATAATAACATGAGTTTAAACCAAAGCAATTTTTGTACTTTTAATCATTTTAATTCAAAAATGCTTAATCTCCTGTTTTATTTCTCTATTAAGCCATCCTTGATTTTTTATGAAGATTTAAAACACATATTTTTTGGATTTAATTAGCTAGTTTTTTTTTTTCAGGGAAAATTTTGGAATTAAAAAAAAAAGAGATTTAGGAAATAGGGATGGGGAGAGTCTTTAAAAATAGGTAATTAGGTTTGGTTCTGCTGTATTGAGAAGTGATTAACTTGTTTTTCATGGTGGCTCTGTTGACTTATAAGCAAAGCATCCATTGAGTCCTCAATATCTTTGGCTCCATCCTGAATCAGCCAGGGTCATAGAAAAACATTGTTGACAGTAATATTACTTTACAGTCTGTCATGTTTTGGGGGAAAAATATATCTGTTCTCCATGACCTGTTTTTATCTGAGATCCTTGTCAGGCTTTGGAAAATCTAGTCCCTGCTTGAGTTCTGAATGTGATTCTCTTTCTAGAACTGGATTCCTTGGAAGATGACTTATGGGATAACCTGATCTGGCTGTTGCCTCAGAGATACTCTCCTGAGAAAGAGGGAGGGTGTTTTCTGCCTGAAAAATGTGCTGATTTGATGATGTCCAGTAGAGGACCAGTAGGACAAATATTTGTAGGAGACTATTCAATGAGGAGAACAGCTCTTGGAAATGGCAGAAAAGTTTCTTTTCTCTCTCTCGTTTTTTGATATAGGAACCAAAGGTTGTGTGATTTGGGAATGGTTATGTTCTTTTGACAGCCATAATAAGCCCTTGTTGCTAGGTGGGAGTCTGCCATGGTGAGAGAAGGGTGTTTCAGGAGCCCATTTCAGTTTAAAATAATCAGCGATGGGAGCAATACAGAGGTCTTTTGTCCTTTGCTATCGTCTAGGAGGGAAAGGGAAGTGCATTGTTACTAGGAATGACTTTTCTGGGTAAAAAGGTGGTTGCATCCATGTTAAAAGAGATATCTAAAGCTAAGGTGAGTTAGTAATTTATTGTCCAGTCTGGGAGACTTTTGAGAAGTACAATAAAACAATAGGCATAAACCAGAGCTGCCTCAGACAAACTGAGCAGTATGGACTACCCTACCTAAAGCAGTTAAGAGTTTGTCTGTGAAATTTCAAACAGATGGCTTTTCTTTGGAAGGCTTTATCTTTTAGGAATATGCTTTAAGAGAAAAATTAGGGGCAACATTTTTTTTAAAAAAATTATGTTTTTATTCATTTCAGAGTGAGGAAGGGAGAGGGAGAGAGATAGAGACATCAATGATGAGAGAGAATCACTGATCAGCTGCACATGCCCCACTGGGGATCAAGTACTCAACTCAGGTATGTGCCCTGACCAGGAATTGAACCAGCAACCTCCTGGTTCATAGGTTGATGCTCAACCACCGAGCTATGCCAGCCAGGCAGGGAAAACATTTTTGTTAAAAACTTAGGAAAAGACTTATGATACCTAAAAGAAATAGTGAAATTTTTATCCTTTCAGGGCATAGTTTAGTTTTCCAACTGTATTACCATTCTAAAATACACTGATCCATTAAGAATGAAAAACACGGAACTGGAAATGCTGTTAATACTTAAGTTTTTTACCCCTCCCTTTAAACGACTCTATGTCTGGTTAATTAATCTTGCTCAGAGACACTTTGTTGACAAATACAGATTGGAATGTCAGACAGCTTGCAAATTCATTGCTATTTGAGAGGGGAAATGTTTTTATTGATATTATTAGAGAGACAGGAAGAGGAGAGAGAAAGAAAAACATCAATTTGTAGTTTCACTTTTTTTTAAAAAAAAAATATATTTCTTTATTGATTTCAGAGAGAAAGGGAGGAGGAGAGAGAGATAGAAACATCAATGATGAGAGAGAATCATTGATCGGCTGCCTCCTGTACACCCCCTACTAGGGAACGAGCCCGCAACCGAGGCATGTGCCCTTGACTGGAATCAAACCCGGGACCCTTCAGTCCGCAGGCTGATGCTCTATCCACTGAGCCAAACCAGCTAGGGCATGGGAAATGACTTTTAAATATCATGAAATTGCCTGGCATACTGGGCAAGTGTAAGATTTACTTTCATACCAAAAGGTCTGCACACCCTAGAGACAAGCAAGGGAGAGGACCTCTAGTACAAGGGCAGGAAAGCAGGCAGCCTGCCAAGCCTCACAGGTCTGCAGTGAAATGGAGGGTTGTAGAGGGATTGTGGTTGGCAAGTGCATTTAGAGCAAAAATGTGAGGAGGTGATTCACTCAATAACAACTCCTCTGAGTGCAGTATTTTAAATGGTGTTTTGAAAGGGCACGAGCCCGCAACCCAGGCATGTGCCCATGTGGATTCATTTTTCATACTTCTGATTTAGTTTGCTGGTGGAATGAGGCAGAAGGGCACATCTTAATATATAGTCTGCTGTTTCAAGGTCCTTCAGGTGGAGTTAGAATGACATGGCAAGTATATCACCTCTCAGAGAACAGATGTGGAAGCTAAGCGATCATTATTTTTATTAGTACCATAAAAATGCAATCAACAAGTTTTAAGTTACCTTGAAAGAAAGTTTTCTGAGGAAAACAAAAAGAGCTGGATTAGTGGCTTAAAAAATTATCATTATTTTATAGTGGGATCGAGGAAACCCCTTTAAGGTTTCATAAAACCAATACTTTGGTAATTAACTGGTAAATGTATTTTATCTAATATGAAATTGAAAATTATAAAGTTCTTCAGTAGGTTTTTAGATAAAAAGTTAATATCGTTTTATGTTTTTAAGACGAAATGCTGGTTACTCTTGATCTCCCTTTGTTCAGGGAAATTAAACTATATATTTTCTCAAAGATGAAAGGTTTAATTGATTAACATCTTATTTCCTTTTTAAACTTCCATCATTTGCCTGATTAAACTTAGCTATGAAGTTCCTGACATTTGTGGAAACCTGACCAAAACGATGCATGGGAATTGAGCTTCTTGACATGTTTCTCTCATCTGTTGGCCTGTTTGAAGGATGTAGTTTGCTTTACTGCCATGCTGGCCTTGATATTGGAGCCTTTGATGTTGGTATAGTCTCATCTGGTAACCTGTGTCATTTCCTCTTCCTAATACATTATTTTACTTCCTTTGCAGTTTTGGGAGGGACATTTTCCAGGTGTGTGCAGCAAATAAGAGAAAATAATTAGGTGATCATAACCACAAATACAAATTGAGAGATCAACATCTTATATGTAGCAGATCTTAAAAGTGAATATTTTTAAATGTCTCCTGGAATAGTTAAATCTGTCTTTTTTTTTTCCTAAAAATTTTGGGTTAGAAGCTTCTAAAACTTATTCTTACAATTGTAGACTCTAGAATGATTTATTAGGCTGTCTTGAATTAGTCATTTTAGAGTAAATGAGATGTACATTTCAAAGATAATGGCATCTCTTGTTGATCTGTGTATGGGAACTCGTAAAAGAACTCTTAGTCCAAGATTTGTATGTTTACTTGATGGTAGGATAATAATTTTTTTGCATTATGTACATAAACATGAAAATTATAATTAATATGTATTGAATAGAATAATGTGGATTATATTTGACATTAAATGTAATCATCATTATACTATGTTAGGGAGATAATTGGGAAGGCATGTAGTTATTTAAGCTTGAAAAAAATTCTGTTTTAAAATACCTTTTGTTTTACTTTTTATTATTTGTGTTATTTTCATTTAGTTGTTTTAAAGTTGATGCTTTGAGGCAGGATCATTTTAAAAAGTAATATTGTTCAGTTTATTGGCCACTTAATAACCTAAATATATTTTAAAGACAAACTTAAAGTCTACACTACAAGTAGTGTAAGATGACAAAATATAGAAAGTCTAATGAAAAGTAATTTACATTTACATAGAATTTATAGCAAATGTCCACTAGATGGCACCATGAGCACTCCAAATCTTTTTACTAGGATTAGTCTGGGTCCTCTATTATATTAGAGTATGCTTATTCAGTTTGAAGTTCCTTTTTCTCTTAAGCCTTAAGGGCTTCTTAACTTTTATTCACTGTTCTTTATTAGT